GGCCGCAGGGGGCAGCAGCTCCGCGCGCGCCAACGGCCTCTCGCCGACTGAGGCGCGCCGGGGCTGGGCCGGCCGGGCACAATAAGGAGCCACGGCGCATGCGCCACCTGTCAGCGCCGCGCCGCCCCCGCGCCGCCTTAACCCCTGAGGCGCCGGAGAGCGGCCCGCGCCGCCCCGCGCCGCCCCGCGCCTCGCCCCGCTGCTCCGGCCTGAGGTGACTCGACTGTAGCCCCAGCCCCACGGCCGGGTGGACGTGCCCGCCGGCGGGGCGGCCCCAGGGGGGAGGAGCGGTGTGGGATGGACCCCCCTCCCGGTTCTCCCCAACGGCMATTCTCATGGCACCTTCTTGCCCTCATCATCTTGGCTAGCCTTGGTTTAGGGGGCAAAGTTGGCTCTTGCTGCAGGAATTCTTTTTCACGCATCAGTCGATAAGCTTGGACACCAAGAAAAAAAAATCTAGTAATTTCACTTGATATTTCTTGGTATTTTAAGCTTAATTTCCCCAGAACRCAACCCCGCTTGGAAGTTTGCGCTCTGAGACAAAGTTGCCCAGTGCTGTCAAACCGATTTATGACTTGCAGTTTCCAGCCTGGTGCTGCTGCATTTGGGGCAGTGTTAGCAGGGAAGCCTTTGGGATCATGCCCTGGCTTGAGTCCCTAATGAATATCCTACGTGTGATTAAACAGAAGCCCTGCTCCGTGCCGCCGGCCGGTCCAAAGCRCACAGTAACACCCTGGTTCCTTCCAAGCAGGTGGGTTCTGTTGCTTCGCTCCTTGAGGTGCCCGGACTGCAAGGGACTCTCAGGTAAATCTAAGCTCCAGAAAAGCCCCTCCGGTGGCTCCTCGGCGTGTCCCTGCAGCCAGGGTAACCAGTGGGGAGGTGCTGTGCAGGGCTCTGGTAACTGCCTCACCCGGCTGAAGAAATCAGGGTTGATAAGGAGGCGTTTTGCCTCCTAGTGGACAGGAGAGGATGAAAGATCCATTGGTTAAATGAGGCCGCGGTTGGGCTTAGGAGGTGAGGKTTGCTGCAGGAGGGCTGCACAGCAAGGCCGTGAACATGAAGTGTCCAGAAGAGCCCCCAGCGGGCTCGGAGCACATGGAGGGAACAAGCAGCGACCCACACGTAAACAGAGAGTCATTGTCCTGCCCTTTGTAACCATCCTGTTATTATTTTGAAACGCAATACTTAGGGAAAGCGTGCTTGCACTGCACTGTGATTTATGGCACAGAGGTCAAGAAAATACCTTCCAGACCTCCTCTAAATTAGTATCCTGCTATTTCTAAATATTCTGTAACTTCCCAACAGAACACTGTTTCTTTTGCATGGCCTCTTGTGCTATCTTTCCTTCCTCATTTATTTGTTAAAGGCCTTATCTTTCCTTTCTAATCTACAGCACAGAAGTGGTTTTGGTGTGTCTATACAGAGAGAAATAGATTGGCAAAGACTGCTTCAAATGCAGTCTTCTGCCATTATAGATAAAGCATCTTCTGGAAAAAAAAAAAAAGATAAGTGCAACAAAGTAGTTTTTTACTTGTGAGCTGCAGGTACGTAGTGAACATGTGTGATTTCTCTGCACTTCTAAAAGATATGGCTAGGCCAGTAAGGTTGTTAGGTGTGGCCATTGAAAAGAAACACAGGCTCAAATGCTTGGCATGCGCTACACGTTGGCCGTGCAAAGCATCACAAAGTTCTGCAGAAAGATAAGCTTTGTGGTTCCAGTGCCCTTTGCTGAGCTTATAGCCAGGTGCTTCTGCATGTTCCTGTAGAGTTTTTGCCATGATTTTCAGGGGAGGCAGGACTCACATTTGACAATGTGGAATATTTTCTCTCTGACGTATTACAGGAATCGTAACGTTACTCACCTGTCTTTGGAGTAGCATATCTGATTATTGTTTCATTTCCAGCAGGTAGGTTCCTGCAAACACAGGTCTGCTTTCAGACATATCTTGCTTTCATTCAGATATGTGTATTGATATAAGCAGACTACAAGTTCCTAGAGTATTCATGCAGTTCCCTCACCTGGGACTGGTGGTTYGTTCTGAATTTGGAGAATTAGTCATGCAGGGATTACTTGCAAGAAATGATTATTTAAACCACCTTTCAAAAGACATCTTTGTCTAATTTTCATATATCCTGTAGCACTTCCAATTATTTGAACAGCAAACATTTTTAAAAATCATTTATCACAAGTAAATAATGTAGTTGATATCTACAGTTAGCTGGAGGTCCAACATATCAGTTGTTAACTACAGTGATCAGAGATTGCAGTGGTTCTTCAAGCCATTACAAAGATATCATTTGCATGTGCAATGGTTTTTAGCAGCAGAATTTAAATGTGGAGGAGGAAGCTATAAGGCAGATGTATTCTGATTGAAAAGAGCAATTAGAGGGCAGTCTGTGGTCACTGCAGCATGGCTAGTACAAAAAAGAAACTGGAAGCCTGTGGCTATATTCTCCCGTGTGCTGAAAACACTGTGGCCAGCACCTGGTAGCTTTAGCTCAATAGGCCCTTTGAAGCATGAGAAGCTATACGTGAGCTATTTTTTTTTTTTTAATGCATTCCTAAAACTGCATTTTTTTTGTTTATTTAATGCACTGTAAATATTTCTCTGTCTAACACAACTTATTTTTATTATTACTATGTGTCGGGGCTTTATTGCATAATCTTGGCATCAGCTGCAAARGGCAACAATGCTCTCATAATGCATTTTATACAGAAAAACAGAAAAAGATAGAAGAGGCAATTCCAGCAAAACATCTGTGATGACATATTCAACCCATTATTTTGTCAACAGTGCAAGTATTTGGTGGCATAATAAAAAGATACTCTTTGCTTAGTGAAAACATTAGGAGATAACAGCCAAGTTAAATAGGGTGCAATTAAGGGTTTGCTTAACTCCTGGGATTCAGCTTTCAGAAAAATAAAAATAGAACTATTTTGCTACCTTCTTCCAAGTTCTGTTTGTATTTCTGTGGGAATTAAACAAGAGAAAGTGAGTATTTTTTTAAACCGATGCACAATAAAAAGAGGTGTAAGTTAACCAGAATAGCAATAAAATTACGATATGCAAAGGAGAAAAATCAAGCCCACTTGGGAGAAAAAACAACTTATTCATGGTCAGCTTGCTTTGAGGGGAAAAGAAAGCACAATCCACCTTAAAGCTTCATTTTATATTGCTGTGCACCCATTTTCTGCTTCATTTTTTGACATTGTGTTTTATTTCAACACATCTTGGAAATGAACTACAATGAGCATGTTTCCTTCTGATACATGTTCTTTTTCAAATGTTAGGCTGCGTAACATCAATGAAGTCACTGAACAGACACCTGATTTATGTTAGTATAATTGAGAGCAGCATGGATGTTCATAGACTTTTGTTTTGCTTTTCCCTTCTCCTTTCCTTTTGTTCCATAGTAATCTTCATGAATACAAAAATAAGAGGAATTATTTAAAAGTGATTCATGAAGTTCCTTTAGATTCTGTTTTAAAGGCAGTCGTCTTAAGAAAGTATTCTGTAGGTTCCTCCCTTTTTAGTGCTGTATCTGCCTTTCCTAACAGGCTGATAGAATGAAACAGTTTTTTTTTAAAAAAAAAAGAAGAACCTAAAAATGTCAATTAAAATTTGGCTTGGAGTTACTTTCTTTTTATCTCAGATTCTCACATCTGTTTGATACAGACCTCAGTTTAACATGTTATTCTATGGATTTCTGGCAGTTTCAGGATCCTTAAATCTGCAGGTGAACTTCTTGTCACTAAGCACTTGTGGATTCTCTCTCTGACTGTGTCCCCTCTTGAAGTTGTCTGTTGCCGTTCATAGTCTTTTTTCTTTTTTTTTCAGTCATGTGATGCAATGATCTAAGTTCAATACTGAAGTATACACTGGATTGGCAAAGCCAAAAACAACCTACAGCTTTTCTGAGTCGTGGATGAGGCATAGCAACCTTTGGGATTATTGCTTAGCAACAGCAAACACACACCGAGGAGTAAAACTCACAGTCCAGCGCTAGAGCAGGATTGAGAAATCCCTGATTCAAGTTTTTTAATGGCTGAGAACAGATGGGCATATATTTAGATTTCTACTCATTTGCAAAACCACTCTGAAAGCAAGAGGAATAAGATCTRTTTTTATATCTGCTCTAAAGGTAGGAAAAACAGTTCTTTAGAACTGTTTCAATTTTTGTTTAGAACTGTTTCAGTTTTCAGAAAACAAAAGAGAAAGTATCTTATTTTTAATTGAAAATTAAAAGACTATCGAGTGTTCAAAGGGTTATGGGCACATTGTGATTACTGCAATAAACATTCTTTATGAAACACTTTAAGGAAGAGCAAGACTATTTCTGAGCAGTGGCAGAGAAAAAGGAATTGGACTCAGTTTTTGAAAGGACTTGTGTAATTCAGATGTTACCAAAATGTTTATCTGTACAGATTTTAGTCTTTCCTTGCTCTATTCCAACCATATAAATTCCTAAGAGAGTAACAATGAAACTGTAAAAATCTTACTTGTGAGTAAGATTTGTTTCTTGTACATAAAATGGGGAGATGATCATTTTATACCTGCAGGGATTCCAGCAAGAATATTTCTGTCACAGAAAAGGAGCCAGGAAAGTGGCATCCTACTAAATAATGAAAAGCTTATCTTGCACTCAGCTTGAACAAAGGCTTACAGGAAACTTTATATCACATTTCAAATTTCCGGGGTGTTCCCAAAGCTTGTTTCTGTGTCTTGCGCTACTGTTATTTGGACAATGAATCTAGCCTCCACTTGAGAATGTCATGGACCTTGAGACCTTTGTCTGTTATGGGCCAAATTCTCAGCTATGTGTAAGTTCATTCCTTACAATAGGCTTGGTTCTTGATGCCCTGCTTCTATTCTTGGAGTTATGCCAGTGTCATGGAATGGAGATAGAGCAGTTACACTTAGTTGTGTCTTTAATTTGGGAACATAAGTGCATTTATAAACACTAATCCTCACAATCGTCCTAATAAATAGCTGAGAGCAGTGTGGAAAATAAATTCATCATCATTCAGAGTCAGCCACCTCATAAAGTAGAGTGCAGTTGCCCCTTTAACATTGCACAGAAACTTAGAATCCTAGTAAAGGATGTTAAAAAATAACATAAGTATTTGAAACTGTGAGAACAGTTTATTTTGGCACAACAAGACCAGTTGATTTGGAATGTGACCAGGACATTTGGTTAACACCCTGCTTTGAACCAAAAAGATTCTGGTTTTACAGCTTATTGAAAGAAACTCACCTAAGCAAGAGCAATTTGACAGGGTTGACAGGTTTGTCTTTCTGCTATTATAAATCTGCACTCATTTACAGCTCATGTCCTTTGGTGGGAAAAATAGCTACCATTTTTACAAGACTCTGTTTGGATCAGGCAGGCAGCTTGATCCATAAATCTGTCTCACTCCCCAGCAGGTAATCATTATTCCAAACAAATGACTGGAAGATGCCAGCAAACTCATCCAGAACACAGACACAGAAATTTAGTACCATGAAGCATCCTCCCTATCCAAGCAGTATTTGGATTCATGATGGTTATGAACCAGAAGGTCAATACCCTGGTAATTACCTTGGTGTGCCAGGAGGACCATAGATCACATTTGTGCATTTCCTGGCAGGCTAAACTCTGTCCTGAACAGCTACAGATGCTTAAGTATGAAGCAAAACACATCAAAAGCTATGGTATTACTATGGATACCGAAAGGCTTTAGTGAAATGCACTTTCGAATACAATATTAATATCACCATTCCCTTGCTGTTATTTAACTCTGGGCTATTTTTTTTCCTCAGCATGCTGGTGACTTTTCATGCTTTGAATTAAGTAGTTAAGCTCCATTCTGCAGCATTTTGTATGTGAAAATCCCATTACAGATGCCCTTAATTTTGTATGGAGACATAGAGCAATATTTTTCAAATTATACTTCATGAGAAAGTCAGTTTCTCTCTGATATTCTCAGAATAAACCTTCTGAGAAGAAAACTGTTTGTGAAATTGTAAAGGGAGATAGTGGCTCTCTGGAGGTCTATCTTCTACAGAATGATCTACAAGATTAAATGATGGCGAACAGCTTAATTTCATAGTTCAGTGTATAGTTTCCTTTCCTTAGGAGCTCTGCATTCTCTGTATTCCTTATTACCTTTMAAAAAATATGCAGAGCAAACAAAATTGCAAAAGCTGAATTCAAGTATCTTGTAAGGCAGGCCTCCACGCTATTTTCCACAGCTGCTAGAAAGATGAAATGATAATTGGTGAGAGCAGAAAGAAGAAAAAAGATGCACAGATACAGAAGTCTCATTCCCAGGCATCTGGTGCTTTGCATGATTTGCTTCCTGAATCTCCTCTCTGCTAGAGTTCCTGAAGGCCTGGAAGCAAACCCTAAAAGAAATAATGACATTAGGAGTAAGAGAAGTATAGTAGAGGAAGGACTTCTGAGGACTGTTCTCTTCTTGTTTTCTAACTCACTAAGTGACCTGAAATTAATCATATGTCTTTTGCATCTCAGTTTTTTTATTCCATAAAAGATGAACACAGTTATTTAGTTGCACTGTCTCCAAGGGCTGTTGTGATACATAATTAATCTTTATAAATCATTTACTGATCTTTGAAGCAAAGGGACTGTATTTATTTAAGAGTACAAAGCAGCAGAATGTAAAAAGGAACACAGAGAAATATTAGTTATTTCCTAAGTAAAGACTTGCTTCCTGTGTCACCTTTTAGGACACTGCTGTATCTTTTGGCATTATATAATATACTTCTATGTTTTTCTGTGTCACGATGCAGGAAGCATGGCTGCTCAGCCAGAAGAAGCAGCCCAGATTCCAGGTCAAAAATTCCCTGAACACGGAGATGAGAATATGACTGTCACAGAAATGAAAACAAATCAGGGGAGTGACGAGCTACGGTGTCTTAGCAATTACGCTCCATGGAAGGAGTATTTTTATGAAAAGGTACAGCAGAGAACTTTGAGTCTGCAGGAGGCAAAGCTGAAAATGCTTCAGGCACAAAAGGCAAAGGAAGAAAAGGTAAAAAAGAGAGAACCCTGTGACTGGCTGCCCAAGGAGTGGTTTAGTGAAGAGAAATACTCACTGGACACTCGCACCTATTTGCTTGACAAACTCCTACCTACCTTAATCCCAGGGGTGGAAAAGCTGTTAATGGAAGTGGAAAGAAACAATGTGCTCGCAGAGGACAGACACCCAACCAATTTTGACCCATTAATTTTTCTTGGAGAATATCTGATGAGGCATAACCCCAAGTCTGATATTTTTACAAAACCAGGCCCATATGTGAGAGGAATGAGGATGGTCACGGAGGAGCTGAAAATCGAAGTGCCAGATACAACATCAAACAGGTGAGGGAGTTGTAAGTGTGGCTGATTGCAAGACTTCAGCTGGTGTTTCTGTCTCTGTTTTACAAAAGGAATGGAATGACGACAGTCTAGTTTGCAAAATATGAAACTAATTGCACCTTGTGGAAGACAGTGCCGGAGATGGCAGTTGCTTCCTTCTTAAACACTGAGAAGCAGGAATGCCTGACCATGTCACATAGTGTGAAACAACAGTCATTCCTACACAAAGAAATATTCTGCCCTTCACAGATGTATAATACCTCCTTTGATTCTATCGTAACTACCTGTGTGGAATGCAAAAAAAGCTTTTGAACCAGTCTTGAAACAGACTAGGTTACTCATGGTAATTCTTTAGGACATATTATTAATATCAATGGACTATGGATTCTTCTGACCATTTCTTTTATATTCTTCCAAACTTAATGGAGAGATGAGCCTTAGTTCTCATTGAAGATGTTTTCCCTTTACCAAACCAAGWGCAATATTGGCCTGGTACATCACAGAAAGTCCCTGTCTCAGAATTTTTGCTTCCTATTTTAAAAGGAAGGTGGATCTGAAAGGGTAAATTAAAAATTCTAAAGTAAAAAGCTATTTTTATTTTATTGTCTGGCCTATGCGTGGTGCGTATGCTATTAGCATATAGCATATGCTATATGCTGTATCCTATATGCTGTATCCTATTGCTTCAGGATAATATTTAGTGAATATTGGATCATCGTGCAATATGTAACAGTTAACATGTGMGTGCATTAGGTAAACGATAATGCTTCCATTTTGATCGCATTGTTTGGAAAAATATAGAAGTGAACATTTACGCTTATAGATGACCCAGGGRTGATTGTGAATGGTGTAAAAATTACTCATTTACTACTAGAACATTTTATTCTGTACCCGTGTGTAGAATAATGATTGTTTGAATGGCTGTCTCTTTTGTTTGCATAAATAGTACATACAGATTTAAAATTGGTTTCAGTGTCAGGAATTAGGGAGGTCGAATGTTGACATGTCTTATGCATGACTCTCAATGAAGATATTTGAAGCTCTCAGTATTATAATGAATAAAAAAATATGTTAAATTTCTCTCTCTCCCCCATCTCAACCTCTGTCTCTCTATAGTCTACATACTGTTAGAATTCCTAGAAACATGTCTTATATGAATGTAATTAAAGCCATGTGATAAATGAACCTCACGCAGTCACTACCCTCCTTCTCCCACAAAGAATAAAATAAATATAACTGCACTGAAAATGCTCAGTATGYGAGAGCTCAGCTTTTGGGCTTTTTATGAGAGAGAGGTGTGCTAATAGTGCAAGCAAAGGTGGTAAAAGATTCTTTTACAAGATGCAGTGATATTGGAAATGCCAATTCTCTGAAACAAATGATCTGTGGAAACATCTGGTTTTCAGTGAACTTTCACACAATCGCAGACTGTTGTGGGGGAATGCTTGGGATCCCAAGCTTGCCAAGCCTTTGTTTTGGGGGCTGTTTCATCACTCAGATCGCTTCACAGGACACCTGATTACTGGAAGTTTAGGACCGTATCTATTTTATTTGGGTRGAAAAAAAATATTAAGAATTATATTTTTTTCCTTTTAATTTTTATCTCGCCGAAAATTTTAAATCCTTCTAACTTTCACCACAAATCAGTTTATTTCTGGAGAGGTCACACTTCCCTGCAGCATGCAAAGTGCTGGCTACCCAATGGCTTATCTTGGCACTGCCCTGGTAATTCCGTGTTTATGTGTAAAACCAGGTTCTGAGTTTTTAGCTTTTGAAGATTCAGAGCTGATGCACAGGAAGTGACTTATAGGAGTCACAGGGATCAATCTGTCTGTGGTCAGCACGGCCAGGAGGTTCACATAGCTGTAGCTGTAATCGGTTTTGCATATCCGCTGGTGGTATTACCATGGGATTTGCGTTCTCAGTAGCTCAGGATTTACGTATTTGTGGTGGCACTTGTATTGTCGGGGTTATATAGGCTTCCTAAACCACAGCAGCACAGAGGATTTTACTGACACTGTGGAGCATTTTGAGATTCTTAATGTGAGTCACTAGCTTTTTAAATGGGAAGAAAATGGAGGGGAAAAAAAAAAAAAAGAAAAAAGAAAAAAAAAAGAATGCCAGGCTGGGCTCAGAATCTCCCTCATAAGCACCAGAAAGATCAGGAGTGAAATTCTGACCCCAGTGGAATTTGTGGAAGCCTTGACGTTACCGTCAGCAAAGACAAGATCTCACCACACGTACTTATCTAAAGTTTACTAATCCTCAGGGAGCTTTTCTCAGGCTTCCTCCAGCCTCTCCTTACTGGTGATCCGGCTGGGAGTCAAGGAATGTGGGAGAACAGATGGAAGAAATTCATTAACTGAATGGATTGATACCTGAAACAGCCTGTATTTGTCCAGGGACGGCAGTCCTGTCTGAGTCAGCCATCCCTGTGTGGGAGTTAGGCGGCTGTCTTCCTGAAGAAACATGTCTCATTCTGCAGGGAGAAGTCACCATCYCTGCCATCTCATGTTGTCTGCAAGTGTCGAGTACCGGAATGAGCTCRTTGTGCCATGGGTACCCTGCGCCCAAAAAGCTCCGTGATAAGTGGCCATGAAGAATAGGCACCTGGTGATGAAATTACTGTGCTCAAAGTGTGTTGTTACAACTTGCTAAACAGGMCTTGTTATTTATTAATGCAAATGTCATTGTTTTTATAATTTCAAGGGTAAACCCAGTGCAACAGAAGAAACCAGGGATAGTATCAGCCCATGCAGTACGTGCAAAACAGGGAGAGGAATGAGGAACAACCTCTGGGAGCAGGAATAGGTGGAATAGGCTTTCTTTTTTTTTCGGATCCTTCTCCCCTTGTGAACTGATCCTTTGGCTTTTAACATTTGGAGCATTAATAATTTCCTAAAGGTGTTATTTCCATTTCATAAATGAAGAAAGTCAAAACCAAGGCATTATTTATTATAATTGCTTTCTAAATTATATGCCCATGTCCTMCAGGTTGGCCAGGATGAAGTTTGAGGCAGAGAGCAAACGTAAGCAAAGGGAGCAGGTGGAGAATATAAAGTCTCAAGTGAAGGAGAAGAGAAAGGAGGCTTTGGCAATTCAGTTCAAAGAATGGACAGTGGATGTCAGTGGGAGAATACCAATTGCACTGGTAATTAGGGAAGATATTTACTAATATACTGCTATGTTTATTCTAGATAGGAGGAAAAGGGAGTTTGTGATAGTGCAGTGTAACCTGGAATGTTATTAATGAAGCAGAAGGATAGGTAGAGGTGCTGATCTGATACCCCAGAATCAGAGTGCAAGTTGGTATCTATCACTTAGTCTCACCAAGCTCTAATTTACCATGTGCCCATGGAATTCAATGCCTTCTCCACAGAAGGCTGGGAAGATTAAATGTGCCTTGAAAGACTCAGATATTTCCCCACTGGATGGTATTCGGTGCTCCTGGTTATCCCTCAGAATCTCCTTCAGAAATCTGGGTAGCCACTCTTGCTCTCCTATAGCATCCGTTTAATCTTGTTTATACCCGTATCAAAACTGCAGCCCAGAAAAGATGAGATTTGAAATCATCATTATAGAAGGTCTGGTCTTGGTRAGGTCTTGGTATCAACACCTTACCTACAAGTCACATACATCCCCTTGGAAAATTTCYTATGGCTACACAGGGTACTGCAGAGACAAGGTCAACATTCAATAGGACCTGCCTATTTGTGGTAGCAAGCCTGGCAGACCCACAGAACTGGTCATTCAGGCTGATTTATTTTAGTAATTACCTACTGTTGTCTGCATGAAACAGACCTTTGACTATTACCTTGATTTGTAGGTTCAGAGCGCCCTGAGGTCATTTCTGGATGTCATTGCTTCTGTAAATGCAGGAAAAGGTAAATTTTTGAGTGTCTTCTTTAGTTTTATTTTTATGGTCTGAACTCTGATGCAGACTGTGGGCAAACTGCAAATGCATTTGATCATGACAAAGAGTCTGTAAGGGTAGTAACAAGAGCTAGGACACTAACCACAGATGTTCAGGCAGATTGGAAAGAGATTGAACCAACTTGTGGTTCATCAATATGATACTGAAAAGAACAAACAGAAGCTTAAAAAATCTTTCAGGGAGATAAAAAGATCAGACATAGGCCCTATCCATCTCTATTCTGTTTTATCCCGACATTGTCATGTGCATGTCACCATTTTCATTGAAACGACCTCTATTTTCACCTTCTCATTTTGGCTCCTGCCTCTTGTGAGGCTCAAGGACAGCTGGCATATTGGGAAGTGGGGAGAATAGGTGGTATCAAAACAATTAAAGTCTGCCAGTGTTGTTGCCTTTTATGGTTTCGGGAAAAATACCAAAAATTAACTGACATATTCCACAAAATACTTCTTCCTATATAGCCACTCCCCTGGCCAGTCACAGGCATGCTAGACACATGAAACACAAAGGCCTCTATATCAGAGCACTCAGCACAGAAAGGATTTCCATAATGCTGATCCTCTTTATGGTTTACACTTGACCTCCCTTAGTAATCATAATGGAATAGATACAGCCAGAAACATTGAAGTGGCAACATACAGCCTGCTGCCAGCCTTTTACATAGATAACATATAATRATCATCAATAATAACAAATCTGCCTTTGCTGGGGGATGAGAGGCAGGGCATCTCCAGGCTGTATTGCTGCTTGCTGCTGAAATAACCTTTGTCTAGAGCCCTTTGCTCAGCCCTTTCTATATTAGAGAACTGTTCCTCTGGGTAACCCTCCCAGATTGGTAGCATGTTATGCAAATACCAGCCACAGCCTTTGTGCTCCTGGTGCGGTGGCTGCAGCTCTTGAGTCTTTCCAGGGGGGTCGGGTACTGGAACATGAAAGTCCAGAGGAAGTTTCTGCCCTGACATTCACTCTGTAGATGCTGCAGGTGCTTTATGCCATAYTTCACTGCCAGCTTTGCTCTATTTCTCAGTGTAGTGAGTTTTCTCATTATTCCTAATATATTCCTGTAAAATCAAGAAATAATCTCAGCAAAAATAGCATGTCTGTGCTTTGTTCACAAATCCATGTAGATATTTGACATATCTTCTCAATTCCTTGACAGCAGCACAGAAGCTGGCCAAAAGATAGTTGTGAATATGTTAGCCAGGATATTTCTACAGAGCTATTTGGGAAAATTWTTATAGTTTTCAAATTCTACTGATGCAAAGAAAAATCCCTGCCCTCAAAGTTTTAAGGTAGCTYTTTGTTAAGAGAGCTGATAAAATAATAATTCAATAAATTTAATCTAATATGAGAAGAAATTGTTGTGCAACAAATGTGTACAACATGCAAAGCCACAGCTGTTTGCTTTCTAAACTGTATCCCTTTATTTTCTGCTAGCAGTCTATGACAGGAAGCTGGAAATTGTAGACACGCTGGAAAAAAAAGTAAACATAGATGAATTCACAGAGGTGAGGAAAGTAGTAGCAGTATCTGATTACAAATGTGATGTTTATCAAAAAGTAGCAGCATTTCCCTAGGAACAGCTAACATGAGTAAGTGAAAGACTTCTTTTTTCTCCAGCATGGCAGATAATTGCTTGTCTTAGGACATTTCATGGCATTTTCATCTGTATATCCACTCTGCACAGTCAGGCCTGCAAGAGGGAACATTTTGCATTTTTAAGCTGGTATGAGGAACTGCACCATTTTTTGCCCTGAATTGTTACTGGCCTGAACTACAACCAAACTGCAACAAATGGGGTCACAACTGCCTGAAAAATAAAATCAGGCTGAAAAAAAAAGTGCAGTTTTAAAATCAAAAGACATCGAGAAACATCAGAAATATGTTTTTAATCCTCAGAAGTCAAGAAGAGTAGTTGGAAATTTCACCCCATTGCTCTTCATCAATTTGGAGACAACCAAGTTAGTTCAAACTAAATTTACTGTAAAACTCTGCAGGCCAAGTCTTTGCCAACTGTTTCTACCTACAACAGAGCTAAATTTTATGTCTGGGTTATTAAACCTGTGAAAGGGAATGTTTAGAATAGAAATAATGACAGACCCTCAACTGCAGCAGTGCTAGTGGGTGCTGTTAGGATAATTAAAAACAGAGCATAAAGCATCTGTGCAGAGACTAATTTCAAGCAGCCATGTGTGATTTTTGTGCCTTCTTCACTCTCAGGAGACTCACACATTCAGTGTTTTGCAGAGATGCATTTTTATGATAACTTGTTGAAGATTTTTTTTAAACATGAGATGAGATATTTTAAAATTTAACCTCAGGATAACTGCATTTAATTAAGGAACCTATTGTAGATAATGGGAGCCTCGAGAATTGCTTTTGTCACTGAAATGAAGCATCAATCCGTAACCTCTATACTACATGTATAAGCACTGGATGATTTCATACAACATTAACATTAGAAGAATATTTTAAAATACTCTTTGTGTACTCTGTGTTTGAAGTCAATTAAAAGATATGAGAAGAAGGTTCAGAAATGTAAAGACCTGGAATGTCAGCTGCATATTTACCAACCAGTGCAAAATTGTTCTCAGAGTATATTCTCTGATGCTTTTTCCAGTTCAGTTTTAAATTAATCAAGTGACAAGGCTTTCATCACTTCCCTTGAGAAACTATTCCATAATCACAGACCTCGCTGTCAGGGCAGTGTTACTGCTAATCCTCAGCTTCAACGAACTTCCTTCATTGGTTTGCATCACTCACCTAAAGCAGAAAAAGAAATGATCTTTCTCCACACTGATCTAGGCCCTTTCACATGTGGAAATCATTGCTTTTTAATGGACCTTAAAATTAAATGGTTTAATTTTTTTTTTTCCATTCTTCCTTGAATTCAGTGCAGCTTTGGTTTACTTAATGGCTCTTAGAAACTCAGCAGAAAGACCTCACACATGGGTTCTTTTTCTGGGCAAGCAAAACAGTGGATGTTGCTTGTTGTATCTRAACATCCTCAGCGACAAGCTGGTGGGATCTTTTATATTAAAACAGTTTAGATCCCAAAGACCAGTCCTTTGTAATTTATTTCACAGGATTTGCAGAATTTCTAGTAGTCTCACACATAGCTTTTGACACCAAGGGGCATTTGGCCCTTTGTAGGACCTCAAGGGCTCAAAACACCCTCATGCTTTAAAAATTAGCTTAATTTTCAGGGTTGCAAGTGGCTTCCTCCTTTTCTAATGAATTAAAAGAAAGAAAAAACAAAGCCCAGCTGACCCATTGCTATTGCTGATGCATGTTTACTAACTACAGTGAGATTCTTGGTTAGTAATAAATAAATGTTTGCTTATCATATGTGCAGTACTTTACACATTTTACATCAGCTAAGAAAAGCTTATGACCCCGCAACGGTTCCTCCTGCCCACATAAGCAAACATACACTTCTAAAATTTCTGTGAAGCTGTTAGACATCGATATTAACATCTAAGCCTTTGCATGTGTCATCAAAATGCCATAAAAATAACAAGCTGCTTGTCCAACGTGCCTCCTCCCAACTGCTGTCATCTTTAAGGTTTATCTCTCACAGGGCCCCGGGTTGTAAGAGCTCTGAAAACCAGTAGATTCATGTACAGCCTGATCTGCCACCCTCTCTCCAACCCACCTACATCTTTTCTTTTTATGCTGAAACGAAGAAAAAAGCTCATTGATTTRGGAATTATTCTTTTCCACAAGCCACCTTCAGGCCATTGACTTCTTGTTTTCGTTCGTCCTCCTCCCCAGTTGTCCCATATATTTGGAAATTATGCAATACAGACATTAATAATAGTATACATTAATATTTCAGTAAGTCAATCCCTATGCAACATTTTCAACAAGTTCAAGATGCACTAGCACTTATTTTAGCAATGGTTCTGTAGCTCTCAGTACTCTAAAATGGGATAATGGGAACCATTCTATGCTTTGCAAATTCCTCTTTTTAACTGTATGGGCTTCAGAAACCTGCTGTAATAATTCAGCACAGGGTTTGGGATTGTGGTTTGTTCTGAGGGCCATTATTATTTATGTCATGCACACCACATTTTTAGAACCATATTGCTTTTGCTCATAAAAACCACATGGCTATAAATCCCAAGTGTTAAAGTGTCTCCAAGACTAAGACTTTAAATAAATCTCCATTCAGTAGTATTCCCACTGTCAGAGGACTTAGGTGACAGCGTGCTCATTTTCCAAAGGTGTTTTCGTTTTTTTTATTAGTGTATCCAAACTGGTTCATTCAGCACTGCAATTGTGGGCAGTGGCCATTTTGTGGCCTTAGAGTGCTGAGTGACTGTCAGTTCTACAAAAAACAATTKTTCAAGACGCTATCCTGAGAGTAAAATCAAGACTATTAGATGCTGCAGAAAACCACAGAGAACTTATATGTGAGACCTGAGGTAACCTATCTTAGGTAATGACGTTTCACTGGAGGGACTCTAGTGCAGCATCTGAGCCGCTGAACACGACAACTAACCTCAGGGCCAGGAAAGGGACTGTTTAATACACATTTATTCAGTGCCTAGCACAGCAATTTCCCAGGCTTCTTTTTTGGAGGATGTTACTGCTTCTGAAAGAAAGAACAAAATAAGCCGTGAAGCATCCATGCACCTGGTTTGCAGTCTAAAGAGCAAAAGAAATTCCGACACATTTCTTTGCACTTAATCTTGTTCAACTTATTTGCAGCTAAGCATGCACGCTGCTTCTTTCTCTCCATAGTATGTCCATTCCACCACTGAGAACTTGACAAGCGACATGTTCCAAGAGCTTCTGAAGCATCTCTGTCACTGCGCTGGTGACTTCCGAGAAGCARTAAGACACGATGTGTGGAGGCAAATGTTTACTGATCTCTTCCTAGCTTGTGACTATGGGAAGGTAGGCACAGCAGCTCTCAACCTGGTTTCCACACAGTGATGCTTCCCATTTGGTATTTCCTTGGATCATTGCTTTTTGTTTGTTCTTTATGACTGCAGGTATGCTATTTTTGCTTACTCAGCATTATTTTAGAAGCCATTTTAGCTGGTGATGCATTTTATTCAAATTCATGGTTCTTACTTAGACATAGAAATAATCAATAGCCTAAACCTGATGGCTAGATAGAAACTGAATGACCTAGAGTAGTGAACTGGGTTTGGAGTTTGATGATTTTGGAAAAGAAAATAACCATGAGCATTACTATTTTTTGTCATTACCTGTTCCCGTAGCACTTTCAAAGGATTTGGATGCCAGCTTTTCTATCCAGTCATATTTCAACAAAGATAGCCTTACAGAGGTTGACCTTAACAAATGTGCACATTACAACAGTAATAATATCTATTAAATCATTTATGTTGCATTAATTTATATACCTTTGGTCCTTTAATCAAAAAATTGCAGGATGCTTTATAATTAGAATGCAAAAATAATCCAGGCTCTACAGCCTCTCTCTGGTAACTACTGTGAACATCAGCTGCGGTTTATAGCTGGGAAATTAAAATATAGTGAGTCAGTTACAGAGCTGCAAATGAAACCCAAGAGCCATAATGTGGTTTGCAGCAGCTCTAAACTCTGTCAGTTGTCCTCTAAATATCTCTACATCCCCATTAAAAAAAAATCAGAGTTATTAGAAAGCCAGTAAATAGTAGGAGCTGAAGGATCAATGGCATAAGTTATTGCTAAAACCTTGGGCTTCATCCAAAAAGCACAGCTTTTTCGCAAGTAGCCTCAGTTAGCCAGTTGCTGGCTACTGCACAGCAAACAGTTGACATAATCTTGCAGTTTTCTCGCTACATGTACTATATATTGCATTCATCACTCCCCTAGTGATGTTTATAGCATGCCTACCCAGAGTGAATGAACTGTGCTCTACAATGTCATGCTAATAATGTCATTACTTCTAAGAGAATGGGATTACAGAGCACATTTCAACACCAATACTATGTTTTAGAGAATGGCAGACAAGTTGTTATTTCGGAGATGAGGAAAGAAATGTGTCTACTTCTCACTCAGAAGACATTTAATTTTCCTATTGCTCCATCAAGAAGAGCTATGATGGCTTGTCCCAGTTAGTGTAATACGTAAAGCAGAGTCCTGTCTTTGCAATTTTGAAAGCTGCCTTTCTCTCTCTTTCGTGTGTTAATGTTACTTTCTTCCTACTAGTTCTGTGGCAGTAATCACCATCTCCATGCTGCTAATCCCAGTGGAATCTCAGAGGCAGAGAGCCAAAAATTCTAGCACACAAGAGTGAGCAGCTATCAGCACAGATGTCACCACTATGCAGAAAAAAAAATGATCATAGGACTGTTTCTAGCCTTTGAGGTAGACAAATTTACAGATTTATTTGTAAATCTGTAGTGTGACTCATGCACTTCTTTTAAAATTGACCTCAGCTGCTTCTGGTCTCCGGATTAGATACAAACTAACCCAAAGACTTCCACCATTTGAATGTGATCCATTACCTGTAATACTCATTCTCAAAGCACAGCAAAGCAGTTGTTTCAGTTCCTAATTTACATTCGTTGGGTGGCAGGCAGTTATTCCAGTCTGCATGGTGAGTATGGCTGGCGCTCTCAGTGATTTGCAATTAGGGCCAGGGAGCTGAGAAAGCAGCGTTTAAATTACAGCCAGATTAGAAGGTAGCCACATGATCATTATTATGATTTAAAATGCGTGAATCCAAAAGGATGGCAGCTCAGCAACAACAGCCTGGACTATATAGTATAGCAGTTACATTCCCAGATAAGAAAAAAATTGAATCACTATTTTAATGTCCTAAAAGGAGATGACTCTTTGAGTTTAAAGATGCTTGTCTGTCCTAATATGTGTCATATACAGTTTGTTTTGACATTATAACACAATCTGCTTTAGTTTTCAGAGATATTTCAAGCCCAGGATCTTAAAATGCACCTGAATCAACCCAGAGATTAGTTTTCAAAATAACGGAGGTCTGAAAAACGTCTTACTTTCCTTGCAATACAAGAACAAAGTTTGCCTTTTTGTGACCATTTATGGGTGTCTATTCTTCCCATCTTGGACACCAACAAGGATGTTGTGGTGGTCAAGATAGGTATGTCCTGTTTCCGTAAAAACAAACAAGCAGTTAAACACTGACCTGTCACTGATGGAATGGTGACAATCTGTTCAAGTCAGTGCCCCTAAAGGAATTACTCATAGATCACAGAACACTGCTGAAAACAGCTGAGGATCATCACCTGCCAATATCTATGTGACAAGGAAATTAGGTCAACGTGTTTCAACTCTCTAGCTCCTGCAGTTGGCATCAGTTRAAAGGGAAGGCAAGTTTTGAGTTGCTGTACAAACACAGATGGCCTGCTGTTATTTATAGTGGATGCGGTACTTGTCCTGCAAAGAAGAAAAGTCAGTGTGATCTTTCATCAACCTCCCTACTCATACACAAAGCACAAAGAAATGTGACCTTTTCTACTTAGTTTAGGATCTCACAAGGTTGAAACCTTGGTTAAACCAGGTTGAAAATGGCTTTCTGTCACAAAACTCCTCCCTTCTATAGATAGCTTTACTGTGACACCTTCCTCCCAAATTAAGTTGTAAGAAAAAGGGCCCTGAAATAATAAAGAGAACTCTGGTAGAATAGCAAATATATATAAATCATAAACRTTAAAAATAAGATGAAAAATCTGCTTCTAATGCATACTCAGTAATTTCTATTTTCAACAACTTTTTTTTGTTWTTTTTAACAATATAGAAAAATAAAATGACTTTGTCTTGGTCAATCAAGAAAACATCTTCATAGAATCTGACTTATCCAAATCCCACAGTGTATTATTTTAACATGACAAGAAGTATTTGAATACAAGAATAACATATTCTATTTTATTTTTAATAACACTGCATTTATTTACTGTTTTAATAAAATAAAGCTTGGCATTAGTGCTGGCAACTTCAAGGCAACCCGAAGATGATTATGACAAACAACAGCTGGGAAAATTCAGTGTGTATGTAATGTGTGTGTAATGGAAATACTCAAAGAAGAATCCAAATATTAGACAGTGATATGCTAACATCTTAAAAATTTACCATGACAGTTCTGTGTTTGTGTTTCCGTTCAACAGATGCAGAATTAGATCTGAGATATTTAATGGAAAAACAAACAGCATAAATAAATGTTTACATAGGAGATTATAGGGTATTTGTACATTAATGGCAAGATAAAGATACTTGGAATCATGGCTTAGGTCTTGTAAGCTTAGGGACAGAATTATGTGATGATGTCTGTTGTTCCAAATCCATATGTGAATGAAACTCAGCAGTAATTTCCAGGGTTATTTATTTATTTATTTATTTTACTATCAGGAATTAGATTAAATGCATTTGAAAGATAAAAACTGGACTAAGTGGCTGGTTATATTTTGGTTCCGTTCATTTCCTCAGAATTTGTAAAAAAGGTTTCAATTCACTTTAGAGGAGAGATGCCACAGTAACAGAAAATGTGAGGTATTAATTTTCTTAATTTTCAGTATTAGTCTCCTTGGGTGGCACTTTACCCGTAAGTCATGTGTTGTGTTCAGACTGTCCCCTCTTCACACTGATGCCAATACTTACAATCTTCGATTATAAACAACACAGCCATCTTAGGCTCATTTCCAGAATATAGCAGCAAATTTTTCCATTAATTTCTTTAGCATAAGGACAGGAAAATGTTTACACAAATTAAAAATTTGGTGAATTTTACATTTCGCAATTTTTACACCAAAAGCAAATTGGCAAAAAGGAAGTCAGTAATTCAAATTGAAAATTGCCTGCTACAGGTAATGAACTTAAATAAATTTGTTCTCTAATCAGCTATTGTATTTTAACTAATAGGAGGGAAATTACAAAGGTGGCAGGCCTGAAATAATGACAACAGGAATTCATCATAAAATGAGGAGAATACAATTGTTTAGATTTGATTTACTTTTTAAACTCACTGTTTCCTGATTGGAAATGGCCATTTCATTGTCCTTTCCTGCTTTCATTGTCTTTGTACACTCACTCTGAGCAACAAGGACTTAATAAACTCTGCATGTTCCTCTGCACTGGAACAACTGATACCTCTGTCACCTCTGTGGTCAAATGCACATGAATTTTAAGTAGAAATTAAGGGATTGTCATTATAGTTTAGATTTTTGATATGCTTATTTCCACAGCAATTGCCAATACTTGATGCCTCAAAGGAAATGATGGGGCACAACACCAAAGCACAAGGCACAGTCACTAATAAATGAAAATTCCTCCGTAGGATATATATCAGTATATATCCTGAAAGTGTGAAATGCTGTGACTTTGATCCTCACATGAAGAATTCATTTGGCAGTATTGGTCACAATCACCTAACCGTAATTTTTCCAGAGCAGGCAATAGGATAYGCCTGCAGAGTAATGTGAATAAGGAATTCCAGCTAAGCTCAGAGAAGTAATCTTTCTTCCTATGAAATAAATTGTCCACTTTGAAATTTTTGCTGATGTTTTGCTAATGGTAAATTCCAGCCAGAGGTAATTCTCAGCTTCTACAGACTGAATACTACAGACGGCGGTGCAGCAAATGTTGAGGTAAGCAACAAGAACTAGAGGAAAAAAAAAAGCTGCAACCAATAATCCTATATTTTTTTCTTTTTTTATTCTTTTTTTTTTGGGGGGGTGGGGGTCTAGGTTGGCCTCCTAAATAGGCAAATAGTCCTCGCCCTACTGGAAGARTTCTATGACAGAAGACCTGTGGCTGCCAAGAGGGGATTCTGTAACCCAAGACAATGTAAGTATATGCAGGTAAAAATACTATTGCAACRTTCTGAGTTTCTGAGTATGCATGTTTGCAGGGAGTACATAGTATGTATGTGGTATGTATCTAATGGTATATATTTGTTTGTGAATTCCTTTCTTCTTTTTCTTCTTGGTTGAACACAAACCAAATGTAAGCTATCAACTTATCAACCCTTTTTCTATTATTAGGGCCAATAGTTGAGCTACAAGAGATTGAGCTTACAGATTTGTGGGGAGGCCTTGATGACCAAGAAGTTTTTGAGGAACTCAGTGAAGAGTCTGAACTATCTCAGACAGAAATTTCTGAGGGACAGACTTCAGTGTCTGAACTTGTACATGATGACAGACAAGACATAGACACATATGGAATGAGCACTGCAGTCAGAGAAGATCTTCTTGAACAAAGGGATATGAGTGAAGCTGAGGCTAGAGGGATTTCTGAGGAAGAAAACCAAGCATCAAATCTGCTTCTAAAAACAGAAGCAAGTGATGTGGAGGTAAGAGAAGAAAGTGAGGATGGTGTGTCAATGATGCAAAGCACTGATTTTGAATSTAGGGATTTGGATGGAGATACAGTCCTTGGTGAGAAATCTTCTTTCCATGAAGACASCGGAGCTGAAACACAAGCTGAGTCTGCAAGCGTAGAGAGCCAGGGGGAATCCTTCCCAAGATCCGCCTTTACTGGAGATGGTGTCACTGGAGATGAAGAACCTAGATCTGAAAAACAGATGGAGGAAGGAGAATTTAGCCTGGGTAGAGARTCAGTTCCAGAAACAAATATGGGAGAAGACCATACGATCTTGGGTAGAGAACCTGGCACAGAAGGACAGGCTAGACAGGAGGAGGACAATTGGATTGYGGAGCCAACTGAAACAATTCCAGGACCAGCACCTGAAGCTACAGGAATGGTCTCGGAAGAAGGAGCTGCAGCCGAGGAAGGAACTAGGCCGAGAAAAGAGAGTTTTTCTAATCAGCATGACAACCAGTTTGGAAGACAGGCAACCTCAGAGACAAGACTGCAGGCCGAAGACCTTTTGCAAGACCAAGGTAAAACATTCTGCTTTGTTGTGGCCAATCTTCATCTGCACTGGTTTAACTATAGGTGTGTTTTTAATCCATTTCAAAAACAGTGCAAGCATGTGAGTAGTTTTTGAGTAGGCAAGAGCATAAGCTTTTTTATCTCCTCAGCATGGTGTTTCCTCTCAGAATTTCAGAGCATTTTCCTCTCTCAGGACAGCAGGTGAGTCACTTTGTTGGTGATCTGTATTCAAGGCACTGATCAAGACTATTTAAATCAAACAGGGACTTTTTAGAAGCAACAGCGCTTTATTATAATAAGGAGAAATTTTATATTCTACTTCCACTCTGGAATATTATGACTGCAAGACAGAGCAGGAGCATGTTAAATATAAAAATAGCTTTTAATAATTATTAGAATGGGAAGGTCCATAGGGAGATACATTCTGGAATCATATAGCAGGAACCTTTTATCTTACTGAGTTTCCAAAGGAACATCATACTTTTCAATTATATACAAAGGCCTTTGTTCTAGGAAGGCTATGACTGTGTAACTCTATGTTTCATACAAGGTGGTTTCTTAAACACAGTAGAAGGACAAAGTGCTTACTAGTGGTCTGGGAATGCATCTTTTTGCATCTCACAGCTTAAAGCACTGCAAGAGCTGGGTCTACACTGCACTCCAGTCTAGTGACCAACTTTTCATGTAAAGGGCTGTGAAGCTGATAATATGGCCCATTAGGATCTGGAATTGTTTTGTGTGCCTAGCTTCCAGTACAGAGCACTGACTTGTTATTTGATCTGTCCATGGATGGACACAGTGTTGTTTGAGTGATGCCAGCCTTCCATCTGCAGGGCAGATTCCCACCCTGTTCTCACTGACGTGATCATAAGATGCTGTTTCAGAGAGAGGTGGGCGAGAAAAAAAAAGTCTGGATATCATGTTGAACCTACATTGGAAAAGAAGGATGTTTTATTGCTCTTGCTAAAATGGATGGTTGTAGTAGGGCTTAAAAAATATAACTGTCACCAGGTGAGTTTCAAGAAGCAATATTCCAGACAGCAAAAATAAATAGCTATTGATAACAAGAGTAGCTCTAGAGACATAGAAGTAGATTTTACGTATGCTCAYATTAATAAACCCTGGTTTACAGAAGATTTCTTTTTAAAATTGCAGGTCCAGCACTGTCAGCCAGAAAGGATTCTCAAACCAAAGTTAGCCAGGAATCTGAAAAAACAGAACAATTGATAGATGGGATGCCATGGTCAGGTGACTACTTGTGTCAGCTCTTTTCATCTGCTTTTAGACTGTGATTGGATACAGATTTAACAGATTTTAAATCTTTTTAAAAGTCTTTTTAAAAAGCTTGTRTATTTACACAGTATATTTTATCTTTCATCAGGTGACCTTCTGACTTCTGACCTAAGTGTCAGGTATAGCAACTATGGAAAAAGAATAATAGAGGACTGGAACTGTGAGAACTCTAGATTCCCAGGTATTAGGGCACTTGGACACATAGTGACTGACAGTGTCTGCACACAGGCTGTTACTGCTGTGAGCTAAAAGTTTTAGGGAGAATACAAACACTGATCCTGAAGCTGACTTCAAGATCAAGAGAACAATCTGTGTCTCAGAAAACAACTTCTAGTATAATGGTGATTTCAGCTCACCTATTTTCAGGGATGTAACCTGGCTGTATGATTGTACCCATGCTAGACTGAAGAGATACTATAAGAAAGTATAAACAGATGAAGGCCTTTAGTCAGCAGGGAGTCAGTCTGTATTCAGTGATGCTTTCACTRGATAAGAAGTGCAGGATTCAGCCATTCTTGGCTATCTCTCACTTGCCTGTCTTTAGGGCAGCATTTAGCCTCCAGCATCACACTGTGCTTCCTGCCTTTCAGACCTGCGCCCAATCCTTATAGAGATTGAGAGCCGCGGTGCTCCTCACATCAGGAGTGTTTTTGAGGAAAGTTCCCTCAACCTGCCGCAGTTTGTCCAGCTCATGGAGACATTTGTTGGTAATGGCACTTCATTGCCTACTATGAAGAGTCTTATTGCCTTTATCCAAGAAGAATACAAACAGACAGAAGAGGAAAAAATGGAACAACTGAAGAAGGTAAATATTGATGGGTTTTGCCAATCCTATGTCCAGACCTATGAAACACTTGCAAACTCAATTCTTAATCCCATGCTAGCAGAACTATTCACTTGCAATCTTTAATTCTTTTACCCTTTTACTTTGATATGGATTCACCTACCTTAGCCCTTAGCTTGAGGAATGATGACAGACAAATGCTATGACAGGTTGTCTGCCTGCTTCGGAACTGGACTCAGTGAGACAGCAGGTGGATATTTAGATGTGAAAGAGCTCAAAACGTTTTGTTCTGCTTATTCACCTCCCTAGCAGTCAAGAACCTGACATCTGACCTATTGCACTGGCATACACATAGAAGTTTGTGGATGTTTGGGGCAGGGTTTTAAATAAGTGTGCTTGCTTTGCATGTGTACGTGGGTGTGTATGAATGGGTACATGCCTCTTTATGTTTAAGCTGAAGGAGCAGTTGCCATCTGTTGAATAAATATATTCCCCTTCAGCAATATCCTTATGCACACATCAGAATGCCCATATTTTAGAGTATAGATATATTTCTTGGTGGATCTGCCCATAGAAGCCTCTCTAGCTGCTTTTTCCTCAGACCGCTTTCTAGTTTCCCTTTGTGCTGCTGACCTAATTTGGATGAGATATTGGATCTGACGGCTCTGCTGTCTTCATGCTGAACACAATACACGCTGCCACTATTTTGGCCTTTGCAAGAATTCCACTCCAAGCCATTTACCACTGTGTGCTATGCAAAAACGGGTTCTAAAGAACATATTTCTTGGAGCCCACACAATTCGGCGCAGCACCGACAAAACAATCTACAGAAATACAAGCTTTCAAATCTTTGGGTGTTACTAACAAGGCTCTGGTTGTTTTTGTCTGGGAAGATGTTTTTATTCTGGGAAACTGCCACTTATCTGAGTTAATCTCAACTTAGATCTAGCGCAGGCTTCATTTGTTGACTGGAAAATGACCCTCTGCAGTGCTGATTCTGCCTGGTAACACTAACCTGTCAGCTGTGTTTAGTGTTTTCAAGTCTCTCCTAGGTTTAATGATTCATCCCCAGGTCTGAGTTGTGTATTTATGGAACTGTCCTGGCCAATAGGGATTGTGTGATTAGCCTGGTACTGCACTTTGCATAATTGTGCAGAATCTGAGCATCAGTGTCCTGGAATTACTCTCTGTTCTAGGTTCACCGCAGCTCTCTCTTGGCCCGACGGAAACTACTTTTGGAGGCACTTTTTGAAAAGTGGGACAGCAATGCATCTGGGTTTCTGGATCTGAAAGAGGTAGATGCTGTTCTAAGCACATTCAAAGAAGGAATGGAAAAAAAAGCCTGGAGGAATGGTAAGAAAACAGCTTTGCTGTGAGAGAGGAACAATGTCAACACATTAGGCCTTCAAGCATTCAGTGACATTACTAATGCAGTTGTGAGCAAGCACCAGACTTTTCTTGGTTTTGCAAGCATAATCATAAGTAGCGCACAAGGTATGCTGTGTAAAATGAAAAGGAACAATTATTTAGACTTACTTGTTAATACATGGCTCCATCCCCTCCTTCTGCAATAGACTGATGTGAGAATCATCTTCCCAGTCAGAGAGGCAGTCAAGTGCTTTCATGATGTTGTGACATGTTGAAAAATGATTTCAGTTTTAATAAGCATTAAGGATCTGTAATATGACAGTGAAAAAAAATGCATCAAAATCCCAGGGATATGTATTTTGCACTTTTGCTCTAGCCTGTATTATGTTGGTATTTTTAATAGATACCTTTCAGTGAACTATTTGCAGGAATATGTCTTGTAGGAGAGAGCACCAGCTCTCCTTATGGGTCTCAAATGGCCTTTAGTAATTCACACTGTTGCACAGGTCTCATGAATTAGATAGCAACTTTGAGTTTCATTTCTCAGCTGTATCATTTCTCTTGATAAACATAGAAAATTTGGTCCTGAACGTATTAGACTTGGGTCAGGCAGAAGTACAGCAGGTTCACCTAGACCTGTCTGGCAGCCTCATGCATATTAACATGTAGCCATTATGTGCTCTGAAATATTGTATTAGCAATTAAGAACATGTCTGCATCTGTGCTTGGGTGGAGAGAGCAAGTTTATTCATCTGAGATTTGGGGGGCAAGTCTGCACTGCACATGGCTACTCTTGATGGCCCCTCCTTCCCAGCACTTCAGCGCTTTTCTTTTCTCTTTTGATGAAAAAACACTGCGGTTGAAGGGGGGAAAAATGCTCAGCTTCTTGTGTATTTCTTTCTTCATCTCTTTCTTCAAAGGCAGGGAAAAGGGGGGGTCCAAATTCAAATAACTGTATATTATCAGAAAATTCTCCATACTAGTTTTGTCCGAAAATCAGAAATGACATTAAAGTATTTGAAATATTCTTCAAATGGTTAGCAGAATAAGTCAGCATTAACAGTCAGCTCCAGAATCAGTGGGCCTAGTTAGTCACTATTATACACCAAAGCTACTGCTACAGATAAAATCAATGATAAAATCCTCACTGAGTTCTGAGGGGGAAAGAGGAAACTCTTAGCTCCTGTAAAACATGTCCTTTTTTTGCACCAAGAGGCAATTAGGTCATCAGGTGGCTTCCTGCCAGTTCTTGTGCATCATTAACCACAGCATTTTCTATCAGCCTGTTCCTTATAGACTATTCTATGTATTGATCACAAATACTCCCCGCTGAGCAGCAAACTTCACACTTCTACCTATACAGCAGTGATCGCTCGTTTGCTAGTAGGAAGCGCTGGACAAATAGTTCCCTTTCCTTTAGTTCTCCGGGTCCAGCAGGACTTGAAATCAGGACGCAAGAAAAAAATATATATATATGTATATATCAAAGTGTTAGTCGTTGCAGTGTTGAGGAGAGGAACTGCCAGGGGCATGATCAGGCAAGTATAGCTCTGGGCAGAATACTCAATGAATCCGAGGTTTCCAAAGACAGGAAGCGGACCTGCGAATTCCAAAGACTGTGCAAGAGCACCCCCGTGAGTTCAGATCTGCAGTACGGGAAGGAGCAGAATCAGAGCTTACTCTATAAAGGCAAGCAAACAATTCAGAAAATGTCCTTTTGGACTCGCTGCTGATTTAAATAATAACCTGTACATAGTAGGTGTGCATGCTGATGCTCAGCCTGTTAGGATTCCGAGGCTAGGAGGAACCCTGTTTGTCTTTGGGACCTCTGGGAAAACTGGAATTTTGTGAACTAGGGTGAGTAGTGCAGAAAAGCAATTTTCGATAATCACAGTTAGAGCCTTTTTGCATTCCTTGTTTTTCCAAGGGAAAGGAAACTCCACCAACTCTTTTTCCTGCAGCTTATTTGCCATACTTGGGTCACCTCAGCTTCATTCCCTGGGTTAGGAAATACAACRCGGCTCCTCTGGCCTTTACAAATGGAAAGAGTAGCCTCCATGCCTCACTCCTTCATTCCCCTGTGAGCTAGGAGGCTCTCTGATGCTTCAGACATTTTTCAAACAGATTCCATCTTCTAAATCTACATTTGGTAGCTCTTATTCAGGTGTTTGTGACTATTTTGCTCCGCATTCACATCTCCTGGTGATTCTTGAACACCATTGTCCCATCTGTTGTGTGTCTTCAGTGAAGCTTACATTTTCTTTGATCTTCATCTATGAGATCCAGCACCGTATAAATGTTATTTCAATAATTCATCACAGACACTCAAAACAGGGTAATTAAAAATTATGGTTACTTTGGAAGACCTCAAAAGAAAAATATAATTTCTGTAAATTATATTTGTGGAAAATCCAGGAATGTTAGTGATCTATGAAATCATCTGTAGACTCCAACCTTAATGTTTTTAACAGAGTGATCAGTAGTATTACTGCAAAATCTTGGCTACTGTTGCAATATGCAGCATTTCTACCTTCAGGCCAGTCCCTAGCCTCTCAAGTGTCCATGAAGTTTGTTTCTAATGAAGAAGAGCCTCTGATTTTTCATATTTCCAGGCACCTGTCCTCTTTTCTATTGCCTTTTATGTTTGGGTATCTTGCACAGGTGCAAAAGGGGCACAGGAACAATGTGCAGGTTTCTTTTTCAAAGTGTGATGCTGCAGGCATCTAAAGGAAGATATATCCAGTCTTGAAGCTGGAGAGTACCTGTCATGATGAAAACCTAAATTTAGGAGATAGATCGACAAAAACGAGCACGTCATTTGAAGCCCATTTGGGTAAAAAGCAAAATATAGTATAAGTTGAATAGAGGTTATATAGATTGTCCCTKTTTTATTTTCTGTTTCTTCTACTAGCAAAGAAGCACCTTTGCTTACGCTACCCACAGACCAGCAGAATGGGGAAACTGTCCCCACAGACATTCCAGGCTTACCTTGAGTTAGTGGTTTCTGAGTTAACGGGGGACGAGGATGAAGTCACTGATAACTTGGTGGAGTTCCTGAGCACAAGCGTGGAACGAAGTCACATGGAGTATCTGCAGCACTCGGCCCGGAGGAAATGGCTGCACAGCATCCAGCAAGCAGCTGAGACCAGCGGAGTAAGCTTGGAACCAGTTTACAGAGCAGTGTTTAAGGTCCTCTCCCAGGTATGCACATCATGGAGCATGAGTCTTTTCAGTGATGGGCAGTGACACTCTCTTCGTTTGAGTGAGCCAAATATCATGAGAAACTGGTCTCAGGCTAGATGCCTTGTGCTTTTCTGCACTTAGCTCATGTTGAGGAGAGCCAGTGGTTAAGCACACAAAGACTCCTAAGTCAGATCTGAGATACAGGAATTCTTGTTTGTGCTTTGCCAAAACAAAATACCTTTCCTGAATACTTAGTCTCACATTTTGGAGACCTGATTAGTTGCAAATGTGGAAATCCACTGTTTTTGCTGTAGAGCTTCTGAGGGGAAATGCAGGAGACTCGGTCTATGACAAAGAGGAATGACTTGTAGTGGGATTAATTTCATTTTTTACTTCCAGCCTCAACTTTAGATATTTGTCCTGACAATTAAAGGCCTCCTCACAGCAAAACTTCTCCCCCTTTTCAGTACTATAGTAATTGAAGCATTCCTATAATATTGTCCAGATCTGTAAAGGCAATAACTCTGGCACTTGTTTGTCTGGTTGTTTCAGAAGAATCTCCCACAGGAGATTAAATCAATAGGAATTTTGCTTAGACACAGGTTATAATGAAATTGTTTTTATATGAACTGGCCTTCCACTAGCAGTAGCAAAAATGAAATCTGTTCTCCCTGTCAATCAAAGTATGTGTTTTTGTTTATAGCAGGGTGTTCAGCTCAGATGCAATCACAGTGTAGCCATATATATGTCATGCAGTTAGTGCGTGACATACAAAATCAGTGACCTAGAACAGCAGATCAGCATAAATGAGACAAGTGATAAGTGCATGAAATAAGCGTAATGGCCAATGGCTAATGCACATAATGTAATGGGAAACATTTGGTTGCTAGGATGCAGAAGCCCATGGGGATAGCAAGAAGATCAGTGCATATATTGCCCTTTTGGAAGAGAACCAGATCTCACCAGAGCGAGGACCGATTCTCCTGCGCTATGTGGCATGCACTGCAGATGATGCCCCATATGTCCTAAACCAGATACTTTACAGAGACATGAAAGGAGTAAGGTAAGGAAAGCTGCAAAGAACTGTTCTTTTTTTTTGTCAGAAAARCATGTGGAATGTAAGGATGCCAAGCAATGGTTTGGGGTGCACTAGAAATGCAGGTTGACTCCACAGAACAACTTCCCTCAGGGACCACTGTGATGGAGTGAGTCATTATCATATATATTATTATACTTTACACGGTCTACTTATAACTGCTTTGTTTGGGATCTCACTCCTTGGGGAGATTAGCTCACAGTCTAATAAGCCTTATCCTTTAGCAAACGTCTATTATATTCAGCCTACATTTTACTCTTTTAAAATTAATTCTATTACAGCCCTTTACATCCACTGGATATTTTCTTTTTGAGAACAATGTCTTTTCTTTCCTAGGGTTTACAGTGTAAACAGCCTTCCTGCCTCTTTACCTCATGTTTCTGCAAGATAGACACATTTGTCTCTTCCTTTAAATCTTGCATCTTCTAACCTATTAAATGGAACTGCTCGCCTCTGAATTCCTTTTCATTACACTCATTAGYTGATGTTTTTACAATGACTTGAGAATAAAAAAGGCCTTATTTTTATTGCGTCTGACTTTGAGATGGAATAGATGTGGTATTCTAGGGGTGGCCAGAATAGGGAGCTAACACCTTCCTTCTTGGAATCCTAAAGCAAAGAAAGTTCAAAACTGCTCTTTTTATCTGCAAAAATTGCCCACTACTCTCACAATCTTCATAAATTGTTTTTTTTCAGCTTTGCAGCTGTTGAAGAGGGGAAGCCAATCCATGTTCCAAGAGTTCAACTCCATGGGAACATCCACTTCTGGAACTATGACCGCCCAGTGGAAGAGAGAAGAGGTTCATTCCTGGTACTGCCATTACAAGATGCTCGCTGGAGAGTCTTTGGAATTTTAGGACTCGATACACTTTGGGATGAGTGTGAGAAAACCATTTTTCTGACCCATGAGATCAGTTTCTATCAGGTAAGCACCATGAGAAGGCAGCTTATTTGACTTCAAAAAAATCAGTAAGGACCATGTGAATTTTCCAGGCTTGCTCTAAGTAGATGAAGACGTACGTGTCAGCATGGAACTATGAGCCCCTATTTACTGCTCATGGTGAAACTTGTATGAGCTGAACAGCATATTAGTATCTTATTTATTACTATCTTACCTTTAATTGAATTTCAGGTGTCACCTTTTCAATAATTTTTAAACTTCTTCTGATACAACTAGTAAATGAACTGCAGATTTGTGCAAAGCACCAAGATAGTAGCATTCATTTACAGAAGCTCCAGACTTAAAATTTGTGTTTGTTTCCATAACGTTTCATAAAATTGCATTTTTTTTACACAATGGACTACTTAAAAACAATGGCTGWTCAGATTTCTTTGGGATGCTACTCACTTTCTTTAGAATCAGCCTCATCGTGATTGCCTCATCTGAGCAGCAGGGAGCGCAGTAAGCCARTGTTAGCAAAGAATTTTGCACTTTCCACTAAAAAACAACATTATCTTGTTTAGAACTTGGGAATGACCAGAGTGTTCTGGAGCCTGAGAGCCTTATTTGATAAAGGACATTTCATTGCAGCTTTTCAGCACTGCAAGTTCTCATTAGATTGTTAATACCAATTTACCTCATTTTGAGGCATGAATATTTCCCTAGCTTTATCCCCAAATCACGTGGGTATTTGAAGGATTCTGCTTTCACAGGGTGTTTCTGGAGCATTCAGCAGAGCCTACCACCATGTCTGCGCACGGGAAAACATTCTGCAAGAGATGCTCACTGCTCTGGACTGGTTGTATTCAAGAACATCCAACATTCACACTGTCATTACGTATTTTGTGGAGCCTGGCCAAGAAAAGGTATGCAGGGCAGTGCATATTACATATCAAAASGGCAGTGCAAGTAGAGAGGGAAGTTCCCTCTTTAAAGGAGGTCGCTCTTCCTTCTTGCCATCCTCCTGTGTAAAACATATCAGCAGTACCCCTGCAGTAGCCCTTTCTCAATGGGACAAGGGAATATTCTGCTGCTTCAGTACTTATGTCTGCATAACAGTTAACAAAGGAAAACCATATACCTATGCAAAAATACACACAGCAGCTGGACAACTAGCTTTACAASTCCCTGCTAAAGCTCTGCTAATTTAGCCTTCCACAAAGGGAGCTGCTCTTTGTGGAGATTCTATGGGTGCCAAAATTATGGCACGAAAAAAAACTGACGCAATGTTAGTAACCAAGATGTAAGTACAACTCTGGAAATGGCTGCTCCCAATCAGGCAGCTTGTAAGGGCAGCCCGCTTCCCTGCAGATCATATTCCAGTTTTTCAGCAGGAACTTGGGCCCTGGGAAGTCTGTCAGTTCACATAACAGTGAGTTAAGAGGAAAAGCCAGTGTATGCAGTATTTAGGACTGATCCTGTGTCACTGCAACGTCTGCATGACATCTTCTGCAACCATAATTCATCTGCTTCCTCTGATAAGCCGGGTTTGTGTTGGCCCTGTTCTGTTGTCATTCCAGGCTTTGCACTGTCCCTTTGTTAGCTGCCTGATAGCCAGGCCTTTTGCTCCCCCTTGTGCTTTGCACATGTCAAGGTAAGCTAAAATGAACATGACATGAGAACAAGGTCTGTAAAAGGACGTGAAAAAGAAGGGTGCACAGGAAACCTCTGACCTGAGGGTGTTCTTCAGTATGGGAACCTGGTATCGGAATAAATAGTCTGGCTGAGGAAGGTCTGGGGCACATTCTTCATGAATCTTGAGGAAAATAACTCTGGGAATAAAACCAGACATTGTTGGGAGATATCTATAAATCATCCCTTTAGCTTGAATGTAAGTGGGAGCTTTCTTTTGAGAAATAAAGCTTCCTATCTCTCCTGGCTTCAGAATGGTTTTTCCTTTCAGGAATGCAGCTAAACTTCCCTGTCTCTCTAACAGACATGTGACTATGCTCTGCGGAAGATGATCACTGCAGATCATACAGGCCAAAGAGAAATTCATACCTCTTCTACTCTTCTCCTCAGAAAAGAGAACCTTTTAAAGTGAGTTCTGCCAATCTAACTGCTTACTTCTCGCCCTACTCTATAATCTGCATCAGGCATGGTACACATTACATAAAACCAATGGGAATGTAAGTCTACAAGGGTGTTTACCTATAGCTCTCCTACTACCCTGGCATCTGGTATGTGTGCATGTGATACTGACTTATGACAGCGAGAGGAACATTTTCTTTGAGGCTGGGACTGTAAAAACCTAGCTTCTAATAACGGTTACAAGATGAGCTGCCAAGCAAACTCTGTGACTGTTTTGAAAGGCTTGCAGCACCAGAGCTTATACTGTAGCATTTTGCTCTTTAGATTAATTTTTTTTTTTTTTTTTTGGCTATATTAGTCTTATTTACTTCAACTGTTTCCTTCAACTGACAAGAACCTCACAGACTTGTCTTTAACATATCATCATTGTTGTCAAACTTGTTGAAGAGTCATTTGTTGTTCCAGCACAAGTTTTTACTTCTTACAAACTCTATATAACAAATGTCAACATGGTTATAAACAGGAAGCTGTTTTTAAAGAAAGATCACAAATTAATATGAGTTTTTTAAACTCTTATGATTTTTAACAATTGGCTGGGCTAAACACTATTGTTCCAAAATGCTATTTTCTCATTTCTGTATGTTACCTGAATGACACTTACATCTGTTCATAATTCAGCTGCAAGAAAATAAACCGATTTAGTAATATCATACCCTTGTTCTAACAACATGAAATGGTTTATTACTAAAATGTGCTACAGAAGCACCAAAAAGACTAGAATTATAAAGATTAGGACATATTTTTCTCTTTATTCTTGTTTTAGAGATTACCTGTTTAAATGCACAGACACTTCCCAGGTCATTGGCACTTATGTCTGTGGAGAATACCACTTTGCAGTACCTCTCCGTGATCTATCAGGACAAGCGCTTGGGGCATTAGATCTCAGCATTGGACATCACTATGGATTACCTCCCCATGAGTACAAAGACCTGCAGAAAATGCTAAAGATTGTCCAAGCTGCCTGCTCTGAGATACTGAAGATGTCTTCAGGGGAAACAGAACCAATCTATATACTGGGTATTGTGCATGGAAAGCTGAACTTCCTTTTTTTTTTGGGGGGGAGGGGGGTATGAAATTAATCTGTCTCAGGAAAACCACATCTGCAGTATCATTCATACAAATGTGAAGACACAAATATAAACCTTTAGTCCATGTAAATTGTACTGAGCAATCTTGAGTRCCTAGCAGGGTACAGTTAGGCAGAATGTCTGGGCAGAATGGGGATTGTGTTAATTACTCCCTCAGTGGCTGCAGTTCTCTCATAACCAGAGTGGGCCCGGGAACATATAGATTCATAACACTTATGGCACCTATACAATTCCTTTGAAATATTCTTTGTTCTCAACACAACACCCATATGTTACAGTGAGTTTAGTTTTCTCAAACACATCTGCATTTCAAAATGTTTCACAGAATATTTGGGCTGTGTGAAAAACAGCCATTTAGTCAAGAATAAAAAAAACAGAAAAAAAAAAAAAAAAAAAAAAAAAAAGAGGGAATCATAGAGAGGGCAGAGCCTTTCAGTCAGTAGCATGTCTTGAGCAGTAGATATTCCTAAGCAGCTTCTTGAAAAGTTGGCTTGTAATTTCAGAGGCAGAGAATGTGGCAAGTTGGAGGCACGCAGGAATTCTTTTCTACCGGTTCATGCTGCAGGACCTGCGTGAGTGTATCCAGAAACTTAAAGCTGAGGACTTTGCTGAAATAAAGAGCTATGTAGAACCTCCAGCTGTGGTACATAACATAGTAAAGGCTGTGCTGTTGCTTTTCTATCCRAAGTGGAAGGGCTCAGAGAAGATTGAGAACTGGAGTCAGTGTATACTGGTGAGAATTTGAAATGATGAGTTTTTTTTTTAATTTAAAAAGTGCAGAATGGGCAAGTGAACACTGTAGATATGTCSATGTGTAAGTAATGTCCAGATGAATTCATTTAAAAAAATGCATTGCAAATMAGAGTTGTAGATGGGGATTTGTAACAGAACTGGAGAAATGAATTTGGAAAGATTATGTCTATTGAGACACAAAAATAAGGAAATATAATATATGGTAAATGCATCTATATAATAGGCATATGTACAAATACCTCAGGGGAGAATGAAAAGAGGATGGGACCAAACTCTTTTTGGTGGTGGCCAGTGAGAGAACAAGGGCTACTAGTTGTAAATTAAAATGCAGGAAGTTCCATCTCTATATGAGTTAGAGCTTCTTTACTGTGATRGTGACAGAGCCCTGGAACAGGCTCCCCAGAGAGGTTGCGGAGTCTCCTTCTCTGGAGATTTTCAAACCTACTTGGACACAACCCTGTGCCCCGTGGTCTGGGTGTCCCTGCCTGAGCAGGGCGGTTAGACTAGATGATCCCTAGAGGTCTCTTCCAACCTCAGCCATTTTGTGATTCTGTGATAAGTCTATAGCTACTGTGTATCTGCCTAAATTAAAAATAAACATTTTGATTTTTAGTTAACTTCTAAAGTATTCTATTGGGAGAATATCCTTCCAAATTAAGTATGAATGAATACTATGTATTTTACCATTCTTGCATACCTTATCCATTCAATATCCCATTTCTTCTACTTTTCTACAAGTGCTACCTACARATATCTTATATACTTGACTAAGCTATCTTTAATTCTGCACCACTCCATTAATTTTTTTTTCACTGCCACCTGACTCTCTTTGTTCTWTGCATTGCAGAAACTTGATGACAATTTGATTCAGAAGATTTACTGCTTTGATCCAACTGCTGCATCCGTGCAGGTTCAAGCAGACGAGCTGCTGGACTGTATAACTGGTAAATATCCTAAACTAGTTTTGAGGTTCCCAGACACAGCTCGTCAATGAAATGGTGTCACTGGCAACCTCCAGCTTTTAAGGTGCTTATTTCAGAAACTATCTTTGGCTTCCCAATAGATAAGGGAATCCTAAAAGGGGATCTTTTTCAGTCAATAAAGGTCAACCTGTAACTATAATAAAAAGAAAGCATTTCACATAATTAACTGTTAAAATAGGCCTCTTCACAGCATCACAGTTTGCCAAGGTGGAATTCCAGGACTTGTGCAAAGTCCCACTCAGAGGATGACCTTCCCTACTCAGTCAGGTGGCCCCACTGTTCACAATTTTGGCTTTGCCTTTTGCAGTTGCTGCTGTTTTTATTTCAGGCATAGCTAGAGCAGACGTGTGGAGACACGGATCCCTTCCCGCGGGGCACCTGTACGACTGGGCAGGGACCTGCTGGTCCTTGGTAGCACTCATGAAGAGCCGCAGAGACACCCAGGGACCGTCTTCAGCCACCGTGGTGCCACGTTCTAGAGCTAAATCATTCATCTTTTTGTCYAACTCCAGTGATTCTGAGGGTTAATACTTTTTTATTAGCTGTTGCTTTACATTTGTTATGMATTGCTACTCAATAGTTTTGTCAAGATGATAAGAAATCTGTTAGGAATTGTTAAGAAAACTTACTAAAATATACTGGGTACTAAAGGAACCCATTTTGCTAGTGTAGTTATATCTAATAAACTTCAAAAGCTGCAAGAAAGGTTTATTTATTAGTATTATTTAATTCTGACAAGAAAGGAGAAAAACAGGGAAAACAGTTTATATCTACCAAAGTTCATAAACAGGAAAACTTTTCAAGAGTCACTCTCCTTAAATTACTATTTAGGATTAATTTTAAATAAAATTTTTTAATCAACATTAAGAAAAAAAACTTCCAAATGCCACACAAAAAAAGCCCGATGCTTTTAATATAGCACGAAAAGCTCCCTGAGTGGGATGTGGTTTGAGATTAGCGCCCCGCTCCCTGCCTGGAGCAAGATTTCATCTTTGCAATAACGTTCCTTTGGGCAGAATCGCTTTTTTAATAAAACGCTGGGAAATTAAACTGCTCTTTCTTTATTTACTGGGCAACAAGGGACCTCGAGAGGGTGTTTTGTACTTGCTGGTGGCGGTTGATTTGTACCCCCCCCCCCCAGCAATGGCGGTCCGGGACGGGGGAAGCTCCCGCCTCCCCCTCAGCCCGCGGCCCTCAGGGCAGCTGGTACCGGCCGCCTCCGGCAGCACTTTCGCCACTCGCCGGTGAGCCGTTAAAAAAAAGTCCCCCTACTCTGCCTATCCCCCCTCCCGCCCTCTGCTTCCCGACGGGGCGAACCGGGGCTAGGCGGTTCCYCAGCCCCCGCGGCGGGCCGGGAGCGGGAGGGAAACGGGCGCCTCTGCCGCGAGGAATCTGCGGCCGCGGAACGGCAGGCGGCTCCACCCCGCGGCGGCGGGTGCCGGGACAAGATGGCGGCGCCGAGCAAGCAGTGAGTGCGGGCGGGCGGAGGGGACGGGCGGGCCGCGCGTTACCTCTGCGCCTCGCGGCGCYTCCCGCGGGGCCCGGGCCGCCCCTCCCGCGGGGCCCCGGCTTCGCGAGCCGCTGGCTGCCCCGCGCCCTCAAGGCGCAGGAGGAGCGAGGCCTGGGCAAGGAACCGCCTTAACGGGCCTCGTTTGCGCTCGGGAGCTGCCGGCCTCGGCAGCCGGGGTCCCAGCAGGCCCCGTCCCAGCAGCTGCCGGTTCTGTGTCCCCGAAGCAGCGGGGCTCGGCTCCTGTGCAGAGTGGGTGCAGAGCAGCCCGTGTGCTGGAGCTGCCCTTTGGCCCCAGAACGCGACAGCTCTGCCCTGCAGCTCCTCTAGCCTTGTTGTCTGTATGGGTTGCAATTTAATGCCGTGTTTGCGTTAAAAGGCCAAAAACAACCAACAGGAAAGCAAGCAAATAAGCAGTGGAGGCTTGTGTTGTTCTGGCACGTGGGAGTTTTGATTCTTAGGAAGCAGAATCCTTTCAGRAGTCACATGCAAAGTGTTTTGTACAGCCAAAGTGTTTGGCTGCAGCCATCCAAGTCTTTCCTGAACGTGTGGGACTTGCCGGTGATGGCAGGGTCACAATTTGGGCTGCTGCCCACACCCTGGGAGCAAATAAAACTACTGGGGCAGGTGGCAGGAGATGAGGGAAATAGCTCCCCACATGGCATGGGGTTAAGCCAGAGACCTCTGCGATGCTGCTGGTATGAAAAGTTAAATGAGTTTGGGGAGAAACTGGCAGGAAGGGAATTCCCGGAAGGAAAATGTGATTACTGGAAGCACTGCATGCGTTAGTAGTGTCAGCACAAGAGTTCTGTGTGTGCAGCAGATCTCTGCGTGACACGAGCTGGCTGTAAGGCTCTTCCTGGAGCTTTAACTGTGGTGGTGGTTCACAGCCTCATACAAAGTGTGTGAACGTACATACAAAGTAGGCAAACGTACTCACAGGTGAGTGTGTGCGGTAGGCCAAGACTAGGTTAAAGAGCAGTCATATCTCAATCCGTTTTGTTTTGGCACGTGTTGTATTTTTATTGTAAGTAATATTAAAGGCAGCTTTTTTTTTTCTTTCCCTAGATATGGGCTCATTTTGCCCCAAAAAACACATCAGAAAAATCTTGTTACGAAGAAACTTTCGGTGTTTGCAGATGACTCTGATGAAGAGGCGAGTCAATCAATTTTCTTCTGAAATTTTCCCCATGTTTTTGAAGTTATTTATTTACTACAGTTTATTCACTTACAACCTTAGAGTTTTCACAACCCAAATGCCATCATTTTCATCATGATTGTGAAATATCATATATATTTTCTTGAGTTCAAGTTAAATGAAGGTGATAACTTGAATACTTAGTTACTTTCTGCCAGCTCTTGCAATGACATTTATGTGGCTGTTTCTTTGCAAAATTTAACAGTATTTTGCTCATATGATTGTCACAGGCAAGTTTGTTTACAAATAGAAACTCAGGTCAGCTGCTGATTTTAGTATCTGTATTTTGCAGTAAGTATTTTAAGTATGTTTCAATATAGATCTTTCCACCCAAATCTGATAATGACTACTCACCATTAATAATGATCATCACAAATCAAAAGTTTTAAAGGGGAGGAGTCAAAAAACAAAAAGGTAATGAGTATTCAAATTCTCATGACACTTGAAATGTATCGTAATGTATTTTTAGACTGGACAATATACAGCCCTTCTATGATCACAGAGTTCACTATAAGACATTTGCCTTTGTTGCATGATGTTATTAATGTTGCTTTTCGTAGTTGTTTGTTTTAGTAGTACTTTCAGAATAAAAGCTTGTTACCTGCTCCTGTAGAGGGTGCTGTACACCATAAAAAATTACAGTTTTGAATACATTGCTGTTGACATGGGGAATGTCCAAGAACTGGCTTGCTGTGTAAGACAAATTTGGATACCTTTACAGTTGCCCAACTTCTGCATGTAGCTAATGGAGAAGAGAAACAATTTCGCAGTGCTCAATGGCAGGAGAACTTTCCCTGTCCATGGCAGTTCAGGATTGGGGCCACTGGATAACTGTGGTACCTGCAAATTGAAAACTTGAAGGACTGTAAACTTGAGAAGCTTCCAGAGTTTTTGGATGAATTGCATGTTTTCAAGTTGTAGTTCTGGATCTGTTTGAAATTTAAGGGTTTAATCGCTTTTTTTTTTTTCTGAGATCAGTACCTTAGTGCTTTGCTCAGGGTTTCATAGGAAGCATAATGTAGAACACATCTCTGTTCCTCTGCTGCCAGCTGCTCCTGCTCTCTGRAATTGTGTCCTTTTACACAGAATGAGAGGATAAAAGCAAAATCATAATAAAGGATCATTATGAAGCTCTACTACAGCAGAGTCTTCTGGGGTTTAGTTTTGATACGTAGGAAAAGCCATTTACTTTTGGAAACACTAGATGATTTGCATCTTCAACCCATTAGCTGTTAACAAATGCTGTGGAAAGAATTTGGATAAAGCCTGACACATTCTCTATCAGCATCTGCTCTGAAGACTCTTAGGAGTTGCCATGTGCATCAATATGCTACATACACAGCAAAAAGTAATAATCTCATAACAGCTTCTATCAAAGAAGATCTTTTTTTTTTTCAAAAAAAAAGCAAAATTACTTTATTAGTTCAGTAATAATTTCAGAGCTTTTCAAGATAAGGAGTAGCATTTGGGAGGGGTTTCATTTCCTGTCTGCTACCTTATCAGTCAGAACTATATCTCAAATGTCTGGAGATTGTGTATTTTTAACTGAACTCTAATAAAGTTCGTGCTGGGAAATCTGCACACCTGACATGGCCTGTGATTATGTATTAGATATCAAACTTTTGTTCCTTTTATTTATTTATTTTAATGTCACTGTGCATATTTCATTAAGATACTGCCTCTACTCTTGCTGAAGAAATTTAAAAGGTGATCTTTTTAATGCGCAACTCTTAGCTGTGGTTTAGGGCATCAGTGAATGTTAGTTACTGACTAAGATCTTTGAGTTAGTTCATAACAAGCTAAACACGTGGGGCAGAAATCTTTTTGAAACATCATATTGCCTGAGATCAAGTAAACCAGGTAAAGTGATTTTTTTCTCTCTCTCATAATACAAATGGTAGGCTGTATTGTGGAATGGCCAAGTAACTCGTGTAATCTAACCAAAAGGAAGGTGTTTGTTTGTTTGTCTCACACACACAAACACATGTCCAGAAATGTTAAAGGATTAAGAAAATGATTAGTCAAATCAAGGGCTGCATTTTGATATTAAACAATGATTCAGACGCATCACCTATTTCAGGAAGTCCCTAAACTTTTGATTGCTGAATGCTCCCGRGGTTTGCTGAGGAAAGTTTTCAACTTCAGCTCAAACTTCAACAAACTGATGTAGCATTAGGGCTGTAACTTTCTAGAAACTAGCTTCATTACTGAAAATAATATTAGTCGTAGATCTAAGACTTGTTGTCTCTGATTATGCTGGAAATGGTGTCACATCTGCTGCTGTAGGAATTGTGTAATCTACAGAAGAATTCAGAAGCAGTTGATGCATACAGCCCCAAGCCAGCAACAGGCTTTTTCTCAAGAACAAATGAGATGGCTAACAAATCAGAAGATTAAATAGAAGCCAAATATTCTTTAAACTAAGCATGTTCAGGTCAATCATTTACTCTCCTCTTTTTAGTCTAGTTTCCTAAAAAGAGGTTTAGAAAAGTCATGGTCAGACGTTTGTGTCCATGAGGGCTTAGCACTTGGGATGTTGTAGTTGTGTTCCTCAGTGATTGTGAGAAGGAACTTTGTGTATTATAGGAACCTGTGAAGAATGTGAGAGAGTTTTAGCAATTGTGAGAGGATTTGGAGATACGAGAGGCAATTGAGGATGCAGGAAGGTGAGGAAGGAGGAAGCAGAGGATGCTGAGGGTGACGAAGGCAAGGCACATGGGCCTGTGGGTGCGGGAAGACTGGACATGGTGGTAGCGGGAAGTGGGAAGGCRGAGAGAGTGTACAAGATAAACTTGAAGGACAGTGAAATTAGTTGGCTCCAATGTGAAATCACCTTCTTAGATACTTGATTTGAACTTTGAGCTTTTTGTAAGTAGTTTGCATATCATTAGCATAAATTGAATTTACCAGAAATAAGCCCAAATCTTTGGTAAATAATTTGAATATCTGTTCTTTGCTTACATCAGAGTCATGTAGGGAAATTTAAGAAGCAACTTGCGAAGGGTACTAAGCTACTGGATGGAAGTGAGCAGGTAGTCTCTGAAGGAAAAAGTACACGTAGGAGAAATGAGTTAAAATGTTAAAAACTTCGGTAGCTGTCCATTTTATGTGACTTTGGTTGTTAAATTCGGTTGCATACGAGTTGTCTTCCATGATTTTGTAGGGCTGGTGTCCTGTTGGGTCTCATTTCCAAGACTTTCTGGGTTTGCATGGGTTCAGTAGAGTCTTGTAGGATAGGGTTAAAACGTTTTTCTTGCTGCAGAAAATATTAAACTGTAAGCGGTGTGCTTCCAAATAATAGCTTGACTGCAGGAAAACAAGATTGCTGAGCTTGTAGGGCCTTTAATAAATGGACAGTTGATAAGTAAAAACAATACAGGAGAACAGGAAGTTCTCATCTGTCAGAGCTCATAGCACAACAGGAAATTGTCGACTGTAAACCTAGGGAAGGTGTTTGTTTTTTGTAAACTTGCTGCCTTTCTGGACAAACAAATCACAGGTGGACTTCTTTACAATTTATGTACAATAATGAGGATTGTATATTACTTCTGTGTTTGCATAATCTTTATAGATCAATGCATTTATTTCTGATAGAACAGGGGAAACATTCTAAGCAGTGTTTCAGATATTTTGGTGGAATAAAGCTAATTTGGTAAATATAACAGCACAGTCTGTTTTTCTCTGCCTTTTCCACCGAGCCCCTGCTTTCTGGCAGGGGACAGAGGAGTTCCTTGCAGTCCAGGCTGTCTTTGTGCATGGCAGCTGTGGGAGGCTCTGATCCAAGAATCCTTCAGTGATGGTCCCTAACGGGGAAGCAGAGGACCCTCTCCCTCCCCGAGAGCAGGGAGCGAGGCTGGGTCTTCCTGCTTTCTACATAGCATTTTTAGAAGAAATCTAAGGTGTTTTTTGAGATTTTTAATCCTCCATTTTGAGAAGGAGCAGCTGACTGACTGTTCAGGAGAGTGGCAGGTTTTGAGCAGGCAGGGTGCTGCCCACTTGCCAAATCAAGCAGGTAGGACACCTATGATGATGAAAGAAATAGGGACAGATTGTATAAAACCGTATAAAACGAGACTTTGTTAATGCGGTTCATGGCGGAGCTTGTTCTGTGTTTCTGAAATAAGCTAGTGAAAGAGATTTGACTTGTTTACAATCTATCATGTAGAAAACTGTGGAAAAGCACTTGGCTTTTTATCCATGTTGACACATCTGTTAAAATTTCAACAGTATAAGAAAAAGGGGTCATGACAAATCATTATTTTCTAAGCACCAAATAAAATCTAAAGCTCCTTTGTTCAATGGATTTACTTAAATGTACATCGTACTTGGTTTATTTGATTTCAGAAGACGCTAGTTCCTGCTTCCAAGCTTCCTGTTATTTGATTTTCTGTTTTTATTAAGAATTTGTTACACAATCTCTTTCCTTTTTTAAAATGCAATATAGACCATGTTCTATTCAAAGGTGCAAAGCTTGGGAAGCTGCCAAAATGGAAAAGGATTTTTCCTTCCTATTTCTGCTTTATAAGATTAAGTGATATCTAATTACATCCACACAGCTGAGTCCTGTCATTTATAGTGATTCTGTTTAGTAAACAGTATTGTCTGTTGGTTGAGAGAAGAAAGATATGCAGTCAAATTCAACACTAATTGAAAGACTAACTTTTTTAAAAGAATGATTAGAAACAATTTTTCAGCAGTGGATTTTTCTTTTTCCTCTAGGAAAGATTAGTATTGCTATTTTCTAGCACATTAATCATTGAAAAATATAAAAATAGGCATCATTGCTTGAAGTACTTGCCATTCAAATCAACAACGTTCTTATTTTAAAAAATACAATACTACTGACACTGATTAATCTTTATTAAAGTGCCAAAATCCATTTGAATATTTGTCTTTGGCTGAATACAGTGTTGTCAGTAAAAATTTTGGCTTGTGGCTATTATATTTCCAACTAAATTGACCTATTGACTATACCTTTTGAACAGCACCTACCTTTTTCAGAGAGTAATAGAAATATGAAATACCTTTGAGAATATTTATCCTTGTGTACCCGCAAACACAGCTTCTGGCAGCATTAATATTTTGTTACATAACTTGGTAGGAGGACACACTTCCAATTTGGGGTCGCTTATGAATAAACTTYTATTTTATCTTGCTTTCAGGAAAAGCACTATTGAAGTCCAATACTGTCTGATGAAATGAGACCTTAATTACATAGTCATCCGTTCAAATTGTAGAAAAATAACATGGGCTGTTTCAATATCATTAACATTATTTCTGCAATGTTTTCATCTTTTAGACAACTGTTGGTCAAAGTCTTCAGAAAGAAGCATTGAAAAAACAAGCAATGAAACAGGTAAGCTCTGATACGGGCTCTCCATGCGTACAGCAAGTAAGAAATGACCAAATTTCATATTCAGAGCTAAATGATGTTTTTGCCCGTGTTTGAGTGTTTGTCTTCAGGGAGCCAGCTCAGCAGAAGGGCAGGTCCACACRTGATTTATTTGATGGCAAAGCTGTCAGAAATTCTAGCTAAGAATAAGACATTCCRGCTCCTTTCCCGTTATTCCTGCGCCTTCAGTTGCTCTGGGCTAATGGGTGGTGAAGCTGCACTGTTAACGAGGCCTGTGCAGTTAGCAGGTTGACAGTACAGGCCCTTGAGCAATTGTATGGGCCATAGAGAGAAAAAATGAGCAGCTGGACTGAGCATAGGAGAGGGACTTTCTATTCTGGCTTTGCCAATGACGTCAGTGTCTGTGGAATTGCATTTTTGTATGGTTTCTGTTATATTGATAAAATGCCCTCCTTAAACTTCCTCTATAAATAATTTCTCATTTATATATTTCTCATATGTTTAGTGTAAGGAACATGTTCATGGTTATTTTCTGGAAACATAATAATTGGAATCTAAGATATTCTAAATTTGTGAGGGTGAAATGGTAATAGAATACTTTTAGCATTGTATAAAATAATTTCAGACACATAGTTCTGTCTCTTAGAAGTGAGTTATCCTTTGAAATTGCCGCCTTTAGTCTGTAGTTTTGTGTATTGCTTTCTGAAGCACAAGACTTTCTTTAAAAGCCAGACTTGTAATTCTGTAATTTAAAATTAACAAAGGTTGAGTATAACCAAATAACATAGGTGCTGTTCTTTTGGTAGACATTTTTATTCCACTTTTCTGGGCAGATTTGTTGTTTTTGAAGTTCTATTGGCTATTTTTTAGCTACAGAGAAGCTGAAAAACAATCTGATCGTAATTTTAAAACACGATAAAACTAATATTTACTCACTATAAGCATGTAAGTGTACAAGGCGGTGCATTTTAATTTGTGGTATGTAGTAATCTTCTTAGGAGGAATTTTTCAGGTTTTGTTTGTAATGTGCAGTAATACAAAGAGATTAAAGTTGACAAAGTATTGTGTTGTTAAATATATAAATATTTACTAAACGTGGTGCAGACATAGCTAGAGGGAGAAAAGATATTTACACATCATGCTTTTAGCATATTTCTTTTTTTGATGAAGCTAATGAATGCCTGAGAGAAACTTAGGTGGTTATCATTCAACATTCCTCTTCTGTTAGTAGTTGGACAGATCTAAAGGCTCCCCTACTGTGTTTTGCTTGTTTGTTTTAATAGGGCTTTTAAAAATGGTATTTTTTAATCTATTTTGGTATATTATTCAAAAATACCAAAAATGGCATTAAAAAAAAATCTGGCAATTTTAAATTTACACACARGATTTCAATGGCTAAGTTTGTAATACACATTTCATTAAATTACAATATARAAGTGAAATATTTGAAGATGGTAGAACTGTCATGCTTCATTTTTATGTTTTTTCTTCTTTATTCTCATCTAGACTAAACTGGAGATTCAGAAGGCTTTGGCTGAAGATGCTACAGTGTATGAATATGACAGTATTTATGATGAAATGCAGCAGAAGAAGAAAGAAATCAATGCCAAAATATTATCAGGAAAAGATGAGAAAAAGGTCCATACCTGAAAATGTATGCTGTCTGTCTCATCTATATATGCTAGGAATAACTGTAATTGCTTAATTTGAAGCTTTCTCTTAATAAGCCAAATGTATTATCTGCTCAGGCATACAAGGTTTATGCACAAATACTGTTATATAAGACAGGAATTCCTAAGAATTTTGGGGGGAAAAACGTTAGTTTTTAATTGGATGCTGCAGCCTCTGTTATTGGTAAAAGGAAGCATGCCATGACAGTGACCCAAAAGGGAGTGGCAGTTTAAGACTGCTATCAAACCCTGCGAGACTGATGTCTGTTGCTTTTCTTCCATTGCAAACTTTCTTCAACCTTTTTAGCAATCCCAGTTTGTGTTTTCTCAGCCATCTTAATTATCTTTCAACATTATACCTTTTCCCCCATTTCTTTTAGCCCAGATACATCCAAAATATCCTCAAAGCAGCTGAGATTAGGAAGAAGGAACAAGAAAAAAGGATGGAAAGAAAAATTCAGAAAGAGCGTGAAATGGAAGGAGGACAGTTTGCTGACAAAGAGGCCTTTGTGACTTCAGCCTATAAAAAGAAGCTGCAAGAAAGGGCTGAGGAGGAGGAAAGAGAAAGAAGGGAAGCAGCTCTGGAGGGTGAGATTCACACTGAATCACTATGACTACTCTTAGAAAAATGGGCTTGTATTTAGTGTTGCTATCTTGGATTCTCTATGAGGCTTGAGATAGTTGAAATATCAAAAATAAAATATCAAAAAATAATAGATAGCGATCTGTACCGAAGCAGATTCTGGCTCTAATTTTTCCATTGGACAGATTGCGGGAGGAACAGAGCAYATCCTTCAATTTGTGTGTCTGTACTATTTGGATTACTCCTGTTTTTTGAGCTTAGTTGTGGAAGGAAGAATAGTATGTCTGGGGTCCAGCAGTGGTTAGACTCCTCACTTTAAGCATTCTGTTTCTAGTGTCCTAGAACTGGGCCTAAAGGGCTAAGACTATGAATGGATAGTAGAATAAAGAACAAGAAAGATRAATTTGATGGATTTGTAATCTGTATTTTCAGCACTAGGAGTATAGCATTGTTAGATAATTCAGGTTGGAAGGGAGCTCAGGAAGGGTGTCTATGCCAGCCAGGTTTCTCTGTGCTTTTTCCAGTCTGGTCTTAAAGACCTTTAAAACTGGRATACCCATCAGTGGTGTCTTGATGACAATGAGCATTTGTGACACAGTTACTCCAACCTTGCTTGCTTTCCCTTAGCCTACCTGGATGTGACCAAACAGAAGGATCTCAGTGGATTTTACAGACATCTTCTAAAACAGCAAGTGGGGGAAGAAGAGATGCCTAAATGCAGCTTCCGTGAAGCCAGGTAGGATGTGATCCCAGAAGGGATTCACATATAAGTTACTTTTGGTTATTTGTGATTCCGACATCATTGCAACCCTGTAGAAAGACAAGGAATACTAAAACCCTGGTAGGATAAGCACAGTGCTTCATACTGCTGAGGTTTTCTGGGAGAGGTCTGATCWTCAGCAATGTAGACTTTAATGTAAGACAGAAGTAAACACAGCAAGGATTCTGTTTGAAAAGGTATCCAGGAGATTGTTGCGCTGACATTATTCTAACCTGTTTCTTATTTTCTTTTACACACTACTTGACAATATCATTAAGTTATATACTTTGATAATGTGAAGAAGAAAAGGTAAAATAGTGGACATAGGTAAGATGCTTCAAATTCTAGTCATAGGAAATGATGCGATGATATTAATTTTCTGAGGAAAAAATAGGTCTTCAGCTTTGTCCTCATTCCACGTTTATGGAGGTATGATAAATAAGTTGATTCTGTGGTAAAATGAAATTAGTCAAATATACAGGAAGCCCAGTAGAAGCATTTTAAAATATTACCATATGTGTAGTCCAAATATGAGTAATCAGATGAGGCTGTTTTTTTTTTTTTTTTAATGTAGATATCCTAGATATCAGAAGTGTGATCACAGTGAAATTACTCAGATATCTGAAATATTGGCTTTATGCGTTATCTCTTTAATCCAAAACATGTCACTTCATCACATATAGTAAAAATGGTATTTAAAATAAAAGAGAGAAGTAAAGATTACTGACTGAAAGAAAAGCAGAACACGTTCCAGAATTCCAGTGGAGAATGTGAAATTTGTGGCCTCAGTTGTTTGTCATATGTGACTTAAAATCTTAGCATACCTCAACACTTGGAAAATGTCCCGTATCAGGTTTTGCCAGGGAGCAATATCTGCTTGGTTTCTGTGGCTGTCTGGCTACTGACGATGCATGATTAGAAATAAAAGGCATATGGCACGTGTGATTAAACATGCATTTCCTTCAGTCAAAGATAAAACAAGAAGCGTAACCTTCCTGGCCAGTGGCYAAATTGAAATCTGTGAATTTATCCCTTATGGTTCTTCTTGTAGTTAATAACCTGTGAGTTATGGAAAAGATACTAGATTCTATTTAACCAAAAGAGTGAGATCTTCAGAAATACTGGATTAAGAAATCTGTTATGAATGATGAAACCCGAAAAAAAGACCTGCTTCTTCTCCAAATAACTATTGGACATTCACAGAGGAATATAAGCACATAAATAAAAACATACAGCTTACCAAAGAGCAAACAGTAGAATATGAATCTCTGTCCTGTCACTTAAAGGCTGCAGATATTTAACCATAATTGTTCTTGTGGATAAGTTCATCTGCTTGTATTTACCAGTGAACCAGACATAAAATATTAGTACAGATCCTTCGCCCTGGACTCCTGGAACCAGAGCCACAACTAGATTTGCTTTCTTAGACCTCTCGGCAGCATCAGTTTTTTACAATCTTGCTTAGATCCTGACTAGAAGGCGATTTTGAGAAGTATCTGAAATGTCAGACTGTAATGTTTTTTTCTTTTTTAACATTAAAATGTAGGATAAAGGAAGAAAAACCTAACAATGATTATGATGAATCCATTGAAAGAAACAAAGGCCCAGATGAAAGACTAAGGCTGAAGCCTTCTGTTAAGGAAGAAGATAATGCAGATGCTGACACCGATTTAGGAAGTGATAGTAGTGATGATGAAAGGAGACGTAAAAATAGTAAAGTAAAATTGAAGCAAAAAGAGAGGCGAAACAGCTCTGTGAGCAGTGAAGAGGAGTCTAAGCATGACAAGAACCGGAGGCGTTCGAGGTCACCAGGCTCATCCAGTGAGGAGGACGAGCTGCACACGAAAGCACAGACGAGTCATCCAAAGAGGGGCGAGAGCAGAACAGGCAGACTGGGAAATGATGAACTGGACAGGGAAAAAGATAACGAGAGAAGGAGTAGGACCCAGGGAAAGGATCACCAAAGGGAAAAGGAAGAGCGGCACAGATACGGAGATCATACTAGTAGGGACGACTACAGAAGGAGAGAAGAGCAAGATGATAAACACAGGGGGAAGGAAAGAAAAGAGAGGGAGGGACATAGCAGAGAATGGAGGAAAGCAAAGGAGAGAGATGAGAAGTGCTCAGAGCGAGAAAAAGAGAGATTAAGAAATGGTAAAGATAAATACAGTGATAGAGAGAAGGAGAGGGAAGAGAAGTACAGAGAAAAAGAAGATCATATGAAAGAGAAATATGGTAGCGATGAGAAGAAGCACAGACACAGGAGGGAAAGGAGTCCTGCATCTTCAGAAAAAGACAGAGGGGCTGACGTAGATAAGCACACAAAAGGAAAAGAGAGAGAGGTGGATGAGAAGAGCAGCTCCAGCTCTGGAATTTTGTCTGAGCCAAAACGTAAAGCTGGAGAAGAAGGAGAGAAAGAGGAGAAAGAGCAGGCACAGAAACCGCCTGAGAGCGTGAGCAAATTTGCCAAGCGGAGCAATGAAGAGACAGTCATGTCAGCCAGGGATCGCTATTTGGCCAGGCAAATGGCACGTGTCGGTGCAAAATCCTACATTGAGAAGGAAGAAGATTGATTTCATTGCAGTGGACAATAACATTTGGTCTCTCAACCAAAAGAGAAACGCCACTGCTGCAAGGGCTCTTGTACAGAAGTAGAGGTTTATCTAGTTATTTATTCATGGCTTTAATAAAAGTATCTTTTGAAATGGATTAATGGGTCACCTGATCTGCAACCTCAATAAATTTATACAGTCAAGGAATTAAATGTGGCTGTTTCTGTCCACCCTGGCATTCCATACTCTCTCCTTGGTGTGCTTTATTATTCGTCTGGAAAACCTGGAACAGTCCTACAGGTTTGAGACGGGGTTGGTTGAGAACACGTYCTCAGCGAGTCCCTGCTTGCCTCACCAGCCAGTATTGGCCCTGCTGAAAGTCATACAAGAATTATTGCTGCCCAGTGCTGCCCTCAAAAATGGGAAACAGACCTGTAAATGAGAAAAGTTTGAGAAAAACAGCCTGAATAATAGTCTAGGAAATCTTTGTATGTATTATGCTGTTTTGTTAGCTAAATCTATGTATGTTAATACATATGGATTTGAACGTATGTTTGGGCTTTGATTTTGGGGACCTGATGTACAGATTACTCTTAAATAAAGTGTAAGATACATACTGGTTCTGCAGTGGTGGGGGTTTTTTTATGCTTATGTTATTTTACTGGAAAAACCAGCAGCTTTTGTATGAAACAAWTTTTTTTTTCAAGCATTATTGTCTACTTGCTTGTTCTACAAATTTAAATTTTTCTTAAGTTTATCATTTCATCTGTTCAGGGAGTCAGAGGCAAGCAGTAAACTTCTCTACAAATTGTAACTTTGTACACAGGTCATGTTTTTTGAAAGTATTTTCAACACTTTTTCCAGTCTTTTTTTTTCTTCTATTAAATTTATTATACGGCAATAAATGGTGAATGAGCATCAACCAGACAGTTTTTTCAAAGTGCACAAGGATGATTTTCAACATTTAGAAATCATTTTATGGGAATCCTCTTGTTTCAGAACAGATGCAAAACAGCATAAAAAACAACTACTTATGGAGGAAATGGTTTTAGGTCTTTCAGACTGTTTTACATAGCAAAGATTGAGATCTGTGGATTGTCTACTATATGCAGGCACTTTTAGAGGGACTAGGATTAATATATCTATAGCAGTATATTTTCTTTTAAATGAGCTGAGTGACATAATAATAAAGGTAGGTTCTGATTTAGTAGATCTTCTGACACCTCCTGTGGAGCCTTCTCACATAGGGCTTTGATAACCCAGTTCCTTGAGTGCTCTGTGTTTACTGCCAGGACTGAAGAGGGTTCTCAGCGTTAGAARTGTGGCAGTTCTGAGAAACGTGTCAGGAGGGCTTACAGGGTGATTAACTCAACTGCATTCGTTTATAGCAGAAAGAGCAGCTGAGTCAGTTGCTCTTTTGTCTTCTTCAGTTAAATGCTGCCAAAACCTCTGTTCTCCGTTTCTCACATCGTAAAATATATTTCTCRGACTAGAATTAACCACAGGTTTTGGGTTGGGATTTTTTTTTTCCCTTACAATATGCTTGCCTTTTTTCCTTATGAAATAAGATACATTTAACTAGACATGCTTTTGTTTTGAGTAATCCTCTCTACAATTTTTAATTTCATTTTACAAAATAAAGCCCAAGCAAGAGAAAGGAAAAAAAAAAAAAGAGTAAGACTTTTGTCCTTTATTTTGACCAATTTATTTTGGGCTAGTGCATTACCTTTTAAAGGAAAACTTATGTTTAAGAATATATTGCTGTCAAAGCTTCAGTTATCTTAAGCAGAAGACAATTACAGGAGAAAAGGAATATAGTGTTTGGATTCCTTTTTACATTCAGAAACATCTTTTCTGTCTGAAAGACTTAGTATGAGCAGAGATGCCCTTAGGTTTTCTTGATGACAGGTCAGGGTCTAACTATAATTTGAACTAATGGGATTTTATATTTCTAGTAGCAAATGACCCGGTATGAAATTCCTCTTGTACACAGGTTCAGACTGGAGTGGATTGTGCCTGCTTGCATTAGGTTCACGTCATAACTAAAGTCTCCAGCTATCTTATCTGAAAAATTATTTTGACTATTTTTTTGCATTGTCTTGAGAATTTGACAGTGTATCCCCATCAGTTAATTAATATCTTTAATGCATTGTTCATACCTGGGATAAAATATCAGTTCAACTAAAGGCAAAAACAAGCCAGTTCACAGAGACCTGGAATGGAGTAAGTTTTCTGTGTGAGTTGATTGAATAACTAGACATTTACTCCTCACATGGAAGAGTTTGCTTCTACTGTTCTATCTAAACGACTGCAACGTGCATTGAATTTTCTGTTGCAATAGTATGAAAACAGGGTGTTTAACAGTGGGCCAAGGTTCAAACACCTACGGGAATACTCTGCTCTTTGTCAAAGAGGCCTTGGTGGTGTGGTAAACTGGACTACAYGTTCTGCTTTTTCTTGAAATTGAGTTTTATCTTGCCTTTTAAAAAATGAGATTATTCTTGTCCAGCATGAAACTTATTCTGAGAGATACACAAGACACTTTCAGCTGGATTATGAATATTAAATTTATTACAATAACAGTTTACAGTACAAGGCACATACTGATGACTTACAGTCAGCTTGCAACACTTGTAACTAAACAGCCACATAATTTAATACAGGTGGGTCATGTACAAGTTGGAGGGATACTTGGTTCTGTACAACTAAAATTCCAGTTTCATTCTTTACTGTTTGCTTCTAAGGCAAACGTGTTCCTAATTTACTCATTTCCTAAGTTCCCTTTTGGCTGCAGAATAGAGGGTGGGATTCTCTCATGTGGTGGGTAAGTGGAAGGTAAGTTRAGACATAAAAGAACTTGTTTGCCTCAAACCCTTTTACTTGCAGTGCAGCCCATTTGSTATCAATATAACTAGTATCTTTTAACAAAGGTTTATAGACTGCAGCTTGGGCTACCTCATCTTTTGTTAGTAATTTAGACAGAACAAATCATTGTCCCATTGGCTCTTTCCTTATTGGAAGTTGGGATTGAAATCCAAAGTTAAGTGAACTCAAGGGGGCAGCTGAGGCATTCCTCATAGGAGGTACCTGCACACMTAAGCAAAAGAGCCTGCTCAGAAGTCATGAGAATGTTTCAGTGTGTTTGCCTTCCAGAAACCACCTTCCTCTGGTGTGGGTAGTAGTTCTTTGCACCAATATAAACTTTTCAGAAGATTTCTTACTGCCTGCTGCTATGAATGCATATATAACACTGTTATTTTTAGCAGTACATCACCCAAGTAGACAGTGAAATACAAAAGAGACTGTTATGCTCTATTTTACTTTTCATAGATTGCTATAATATGTGGTAGAGTAAAAATACAATGCAAGTATTTATATAAATGGTGACTACTTAGTTTTATCTAAACTTCCACGTAACTGCAGCAAAACTGTGGTCTGAGTCTAAAGGGCAGTTACCAGTCTACTAGTCTAAAGGGCAGTTACCTTTGGAAGGCACATGTACAACATATAAAGAGATTTGTATGTGCATGGAACTGCCTCAAAATTTAATATAAACAATCAGTTTGATCAGAATCTATCCTGCTGAACTCAGTTTCTTATTAAAATAAATAAATCTKYTCTTCTTCAGCATGAAAACTAAATGTGTTCACTTTACACTATGCTAACAAATATTCCAAGCAAGTTTGTGGAGTTTGTTGAGAGTAGCTTTGTCAGCCAACCAAAGAGATTTCTCTAAGGCTTTAGTTCTGTGCAAAGAAACAACAGAAAAAGTCACAGGCTCCAGCAAATTTTAGTTCTGAAATGTAATYTAAAAGCAACAACAAACAAACCAAAGCAAAAAACAAAAAGAAAACAAAAACCCAGCTTTGAGAATCTACTTTTTGGCATCTGAACTCAAAATAATTGTTTCTTTGGGAATAAATATTAAGTCTGTCAGTACGATGATATTGTGACTATGTAGCTTAGTTATGTGAACACTCTAGTAATTGCTAACAACTAACAAATGTTTGTCAAGTTCCCCATGATAAGTTTTTGCTTGATTTGGTCTGAAGGAAAGTGAAAAGGATTTAATGCTTCAAAACCTACATTACAAAAAAAATATATAGTTTTTTTTGGTAGTATTTGCTGTGCCAAAGAAAACTAGCAGGAACTGTTATCRTCTACAAAGTGCAGGAAATGGAAAGGAGGATAAAGTCACCAAGTGGGTTTGCTGCTGTACACAGAGATGTACATAGTGCTGTACTCCACAACAAGCCGAGGGATCGAAGGATTTACCAATTTTCTTTTTAGTTTATAAAACCCCGTCTCACTTGGATACGTATGGCTATCAGAAATATTTGGCTATCAGAAATATTTTTGTATTTTTCCGTGTAGTTTGAGCAGTTAGAACCTTAGAAGCGAATACGACATGGCCCAGTACAGACGATCACACTGCCTAAGATACAGGAGTTCTGCCACAGACTTGCAATTCTAAATCTAATCCCACCTGCTGATCCTCATCCTATAGTGCCTTATGCAGTCACACATACTTGCAAACAGCCCCGGGGGGTCCGTGCATGGAATAAGGGTATTCTCATGCATACAGACATCCTCATGGTTTTAAAATAAGGAGGTTCTTCAGGGAATACAGTGTATTTAGAAGTGCAGAGCAGATCTGGTTGAATTGCTTGGATGTACGTGCTGGAGGCATCGTGTTTCCTACTGCCTGTTGTCAGTGGCAGCCTCCATGACAAACTCCTCCAGTTGTTGTCTCAGCTGGAAACATAATTCCTTGGAGCAGAGAGCATGGGCAAAGTTAAATTTTATCCTCTCYCTCTCTCCTGCAGAAAATAGGTTGACTTAAACTGCATTCATGCGGATGTCTCCAAATGGAATTTCTGTGGCTGTTTCTGGAGTAATGCTTTTCAGAATACGCTGTCAGAAAGAAACGAACATTAGAAAATGATTGATTTTAGAGGTAGTATATTACATAACAGGGCTTTGATGGGATATATGATAAAACTATGACTGAGTTATGCCTCTTTAATGACCACACAAAGATGTTTCAGGCTCATGTTATCTCAGCGCTATGAAAACAGAGTGCTGTAGAAGCTCACTGTTATTTATTAATTATCTGTGACAGATACTTTGGGATGCATAGTAGATGGATTTTGTATTAATGTTTAGAATTTTGTAGCTTACTTGAATACCCTAAACCACTTGTATATATTCTCTTTGAGATTATATTTACGTAAAACTTCTAACTCCCAAAATATCATCAGAGGCTACAATAGACTTASGACAGAGAAACCTTAATAAATGTGGAAGAGAAAACCAAATTTGTTCTGATAAACACACTTGAATCATTTAGTTGATTCTGTGTTGTGTGTGATCTCTAAAGAAAACCTCCAGAGCTTAAAAAATAATCTAGTTTAATGTTTGGTGTGAATATGTGAATGGCCATACCRCGGCCTGGGATATTGCTGTGTTGCTCAGTGAGCTGTCAGCTGACTAGGAGCAAAGTGGCAATAATCCTCAGGTCCCAAGGCCTCGGACCCTGGAAAGAGCCACAAACTATGTTT